AAGTTCCTAAGGATATAATTGTGAAATTTGTGAGAAAAAAGACTCGAGATGACATCCTGAGACAAAATATGCAAAAACCACTTTTTTATAAAGACACAAAAATCTTGATCCTTAAAGAATACCCCTTAACGGTCTTAAACAAACGCAAGAAATATTTTTTCTTGACAGATGAGCTTAAAAAACTTAACATAAGATTTAGGTGGGAAAAAAGTGAGGGGATCATGACAACATATAAGGGAGAAAAATATTGGATTACATCAGAGGAAAAGGCTAAAGATTTTTATAAAAGATTGGAGAAAGAGAAAGTAATAAGAACAACACCTAAATCAGCGGAAAGAGGAAAGAAACCAAAGAGGAAAAGATCAAAGTCCCCAGAACCAAAAGGAGCTACAGCAGAAATGCAATCGACTAATGAAGATGGAGATGACGAGGAAGAGGGAGATGAATCAGAAGTGGTACCAACAGATGAATGAAATGTCGGAGTTTACGTATCAAATTAGTTGTTTTTCTAATAACGTGAATGGATTGAATTCCCCTAATAAAAGGAAAAAGTTATTCAAGCAATTAAAGTGTGGTAAATATAGTATTATTGCATTACAGGAAACACATATATCGCAAAATCATATATCTTATTTAGAACAAAAACAATTGGGCAAACTCTATTATTCCTCGGTAGCAGAAAAGAAAAAAGGGGTTGCTTTATACATTAATGAACAATTCCAATCAGAATTGGTCTATCGGGACCATGATGGTAGAATTGTTATAGTGAAAATTACACTAGGCACGGAAGCACTGATAATATGCAATATATACGCCCCCAATGGCCCGAAAACAAAATTTATTAAAACTTTAAAAGAAAATCTCTTAAATTTACAAATTGATCACTTGATAATAATGGGAGATTTCAATGGTATAATAGATACACAGAATGACAGAACAAGACGGCAGGGAAGATATAATAAAGGAAACCAAAGCAGTCTACCTAAGAACTTTCTTATGTTAAAAGCGGAATTTGATTTAGATGATACCTGGAGAGTACATAACCTTCAAGAAAAAGATTTTACATTCTACTCTAGCAGACATGCGGTCTGGTCTAGAATAGACATGGTATGGACTACAAGATCTCTAACGTTGAAAGTAGATAAGATAAAAATTCTCCCAAGAGACATATCGGACCATGGCCCGATAATAATGAACATCAACTATAGGAAGCCAAGGAGAAGATGGAAGCTTAATGATAATCTATTAAAAGTACAAGGAGATATAGATAAATATAAGGAGAAATCGAGAGAATATTTTGAAATAAATAATAATGAAGACATTAAGATAACAACAGTCTGGGACGCATATAAAGCAGTTATGAGGGGGCATTTTATTCAGCATAATACGATAAGAAATAGAATCAAYAATTCGAAAATGAACGACTTGAAAGATGAAATTAATAGGAAAGAAACGGAGCTAAAAAATGATCCAGAGAACGAAGAAATCACTAAAGAGTTGAATTTAATTAAGAAAAAGAAACACAATTTAGAGATAGAAGAATTGGCAAAGCAATTGAAGTTTATCAAACAATCTGCCTTTGAAAATGCTAACAAGATAGGGAGATGGTTGGCAAGGAAATTAAGAAAAAAGAAACAAACTCAAATAATAAATAGAATAACTCTAGAAGGAAAGGCGGTAACTACTGAAAAAGAGATATTGAGAGAATTTACTAAATTTTATCAAGACCTATATACCAAGGGTAATATAGACAAGGAGAAAATTACGCATTATTTGAGTAAACAAAAACTAGATCGAATATCAGAAGAACAAAGGGAAAAATTGAATAAACCAATTACATTGGATGAAATTAAAAAGGCCATCCAAAATTTGAAAAATAACAAGGCTCCGGGACCTGATGGATACTCTGCTTGTTTTTATAAAACAATGTTAGAAGAGATTTTAATACCTCTACAAAAGGTACTGAATAATGCCTTAGTAAATCAGGAGATCCCAAATTCATGGAAGGAGGCAGATATTATTCTGATTCATAAGGACGGTACGGTGAAGGAAGAAATGAAAAATTATAGGCCCATTTCACTACTGAACTCGGACTATAAAATTTTTACAAACATATTAGCCAATAGATTCAAAGACTTTTTAAAAGACTGGATRGGAGAGGAGCAAAGTGGTTTCCTCCCAAATAGAAATATAAAGGACAACGTTAGAACTGTGRTAGATGTCTTAGAATACTACGAAATGCATCACCAAAAGGAAATGGCTCTACTGACAGTCGACGCTGAGAAAGCGTTCGACAATATGAACTGGGACTTTTTCAAATTCATATTTCGAGAGATAGACATTGGTTTCCATTTTCAAAATGCCATTGAAGCGATCTATAAGGGTCAAAATGCAAAATTATTAATCAATGGAACTTRGACAGAGGACATAAAAATTGAGAAAGGAACAAGACAGGGATGTCCCCTGTCACCCCTAATATTTATATTTGCCTTGGAAATCTTGCTAAGAGATATTAGAAAGGACGCTACTTTGGAAGGTATAAAACTGGATAAACAAGAATACAAGATCAGGGCGTTTGCCGATGACTTTATAGGGATAATTGAAAATCCGAGAGAAAATATTACAAAGTGGTTAAATAAACTAGAGGAATATGGAGAAGTAGCAGGCCTAAAAATAAATAAATCAAAAACAATGTTACTCACGAAGAATATTACACGGGTAAATCAAAAAAATTTAGAAGAAATAGCGGGAATCAAGGTAGTACCCAAAATTAAATATTTGGGGATATGGGTAACAGCTAGAAATCTCCAGCTACTCGAAAATAATTATATAAGCAAATGGAAAGAGATCAAACAAGAAATGTTAAACTGGGAAAAATTGAATTTATCCATGTTGGGGAGAATTGCAGCAGTTAAAATGAACATTTTGCCTAGAATGTTATATCTCTTCCAAAACTTGCCAATTATAAGGAACAATAAGTATTTTAAAGAATGGAACAGTGATATTACGAAATTTGTTTGGAAAAATAAAAAACCTAGGATTAATGTAACAATTATGAACACGGTGAAGGAAAAAGGAGGATTTGGCTTACCCAATTTGAAATTATATTATGAAGCAGCTGCTTTGATGTGGATTCTAGATTGGAGTAAATTAGTTAATGTGAAAATTTTAACACTAGAAGGCTTTGATCTAAGAAAAGGATGGCATTCATACATTTGGTATGAAGGAAAACACAAAGAAAAAAATTTTGGAAACCATTTTATCCGGTCATCATTATTGAAAATTTGGGAACATTATAAAGGTCATCTCTTTGAGAAAACCCCTCAATGGGTCTCGCCCCTAGAAGCAAATCAAAGACGACTCCTAGGCTGGACGCATTGGCCGACTTATAGCGATTTGTTAATTAAGCGTGGAGACACGTATGTGTTGAAACCACAGGAAGAAGTCAGAAGTAAATTTAAAAACGTTTCATGGCTGCACTATAGGCAAGTGCAGGAAATATTTAAACGAGATAAAGAAAAAGGTTTCGGAAACAAGGAGGATTTTTGGGATAAATTACAGAACGGGGGGAAAAAGATAATTACAAAAATATATAAAAAGTTGCTAGAATGGGCTACAGAAAGAGAAGTCATAAAAGATTCCATGATACAATGGGCTAAAAATATTGGAAGGATAATCCGCCTTGAAGAATGGGAAGTTATATGGACAAAGAGGTTGAAATTCACCTATGCATCGGACCTCCAGGAAAACTGGTTGAAGATGCTACATAGGTGGTATATGACCCCCCAAAAATTGAACATTATGAATAAACAGATTGATAATAAGTGTTGGAAATGTAAAAGGCAAGAGGGGACTTTTTTTCATCTCTGGTGGTCGTGTGGAAAAATTAATGAATACTGGAAAATGATTCATAAAGAATGTAAAATAATACTAAAAAAGGAATTTTCGTTCAGGCCAGAAATGTATTTACTGGGTATGTTTGATTCGGAAATATTTAAAGATGAAAATACTGAGAAGTTATTTACCTTTTTAGCCACAGCTGCGAGAATGGTATTAGCCAAAGTGTGGAAACAGGAGAAGATCCCTCAAAAAATGGACTGGATAGAAAAAATTACTGACATCAAGGACATGGATGAATTAACATTTTGGTTAAGACAATGTAATGGTCAAGGGATGAAACAAACAGATTGGAACCCTGTGGAAGAATATATTGGAGAGAGAGTAAGGTTAAAAGTAATTTAAATAAGAGAGTGGGAAAGAACTGTATTAAACCCTCCTTGTATATATTAATCAGTGATACTGGAAAAAAAGGGAAGAAGGAAAGGAGGTTAGGGAAAATGTATTAGAGGAAAGTAAGATGAAAGGAAGTCACACTAGGGTGTAGAATAGGACGTTTATTGTTTTTAATTTTCCCTTTTTTTTTTTTTTTTTCTCTCCTTCTCTTTCTTTTTGGGTGTTATAGGGTTCTATATCCGAGGTGGTGGGTCATCCATGTATGATTATGTCACTTTTTGCTTCTTTGTTTTTTATGTTTATGTTTTTTATGGTGGAAATTCAATAAAAAAAATATTAAAAAAAAAAAAAAGAAGAATAAGAAAAGAGGTTAGTGGTTTGTTTATTTTCAGAAGTATAAGGCTTTTAAATTATGAAATGTTCAAATGTGCACATGCATACGTTCCAGTGGCACCTGAGTAATGAATGCTTATGCAATAGTCTCCTCTTCATTTATATTTCTGCAGCAATAAAGGTCAGAAAATGGCCTCCTCCACAGCCTTGCCAAGAGGCACAATTTCATTGTAAGTCAAGCAGATTCTACAAATCATGGGTTCTATCTTTTGAATCCTCCAAACCTGCACAAAACTTGTACAGTAAAGACGTATAATCCTAAGCACAGTATTAAATGACAACAGAATTAAATACACATCTTACCAATACAATATCTTCATCTAGGTTTGTAATTGCACATTTATTCCTTATTTTGTGTTTTTTTTTTTTTACAGGCAGTGGATTTGTTTGAAATGATTGAAAAAATGCAGGTATGTTTTGCTTTCCTTATCTAGACATATTTATATATATAGAGTCCTCTGTGGCATCCGGTGGTGCAATGGGTTAAACTCTTGTGCCAGCAGGACTGCTGCCTGAAAGGTTGGTGGTTCGAATCCGGGAGGTGGGGCGAGTTTCTGTCCGTCAGCTCCAGCTTCCCATGCAAGCCTCCCACAGGATGGTAACACATCCTTGCATTGCCTGGGCAACGTCCTTGCAGATGGCCAATTCTCTCACACCAGAAATGACTTGCAGTTTCTCAAGTCACTCCTGACATGAAAAAAAGTCCTTTGTGCAGTTATTTTGTGATATCAACCTTGCCATCCAATAAACATGTCAAAGCCCAGCTCCTTCACAACCAAACTCCTTGTTTTCCCTATTTTCCTCTGTGGAGGTAACCTGCAAGCTCATACATACTACACTGTCATTCTAACGTTGGGCTTTTCTCTGACTTGTTTGGCTCCCTTCCAATGTTTTGCCTCTGTCCAAATTTCCTTGTAATGAATGGACAGCTCTCTTTTCATTAAGGGTCCATGAGCAGTCCTTCATTTCTCACCACCATCACAATCAGTATATGTTTAGCCATGCAGTTCTAGAATTCACTGGGTTTTTCCTCCACTACCCTAAGCTGGAGGCTAAATAATTTTTGCCAGTTGGCCCAGGAAGCAATAGGGACTGAAGCTCGAAATAGTGCTCAGGGATCTCTAGAGTATTGGTTAAGTGAGAGAGCCAGCACTTTTTTCTGCCAAACTCCTGTGGTTACATGAAAATTGATTGCTAAAAGAAGCAAAATGCCCAGCAGTTTTCTGATGTGGGGGTAATGTGTTGAGCACAAGGGTATTTCTTCGTCACTCGCCAATGTCTGCTTGGGTTTTTCACTTTTGACCATTCCTCCTCACCTATCCCAACTTCTAAGGATTATGCAAGTCATTACATTCCGCATGTAGTTTATTTATTTATTTATTTACTCTATTTGTTTCTCGCCTTTCTCTACCCCAAAAAGGACTCAAGGCGGCTTTACATATTATTCAGTGCCTTCCTTATCAATGAAGACAGCAGATACCTTGCCTCCCCTATGGCATATTTTTAGAGATTCCTATTCATCGAAGGGCTTTCACCCTGGCTCGATGCCATGCTCTCCCATCTGCTGTACTTGAAAGCCGTTACCGAAAGATCTCTTTCCCAGAGAGACTCTGCCCCTGTGACTCGGGTCATATAGAAACAATAGAACATGTGCTCCTCCAGTGCCCGTTCTATAGGAATATCAGTGCTAGGCTTATCTTATCTCTGATATAAAAGCACCCAGACCGTTCAGGACAATTTTATACCTCCCTGCTAATTGCAGATACTAATTCAGCTACAACCTACAGTGTTGCAAAGTTTTGTGCAGCAGCATGCAAAATCTTTCAGGGGATAACCAGTCCCAAATGTTAACTGTGTATCCAGTAATCATCTTCCTTGAATCTATAATTTGCTGATAGACCTGTGCATTGTTTGTTTTTCCCCCATCTTTTCCCTTTTACCCCCTCACCCCTATTGTGCTTCAGTATTTATATTCATATTTTAATGTACTAAACATACAAAGTTTGTATGAAACTGTGACTTTTATTTCCTGTGCTGGTCTATGATAGAAATAAATGATTTGATTGATTTGATTGACAGTGCCTTTGGACAGCAAACGGTTAGAATACACTTAAATTAAAAATTAAAATAAAATGCACATTAAAACATATAACAAGGAGCCCCCGGTGGTGCAGTGGGTTAAAGCACTAAGCTGCTGAACTTGCTGACTGAAAGGTCACAGATTCTAATCTGGGGAGCGGCATGAGCTCCTGCTGTTAGCCCCAGCTTCTGCCAACATAGCAGTTCGAAAACATGCAATTGTGAGTAGATCAATAGGTACCACTCCAGTGGGAAGGTAACAGCGCTCCATGGAGTCATGCTGGCCACATGACCTTGGAGGTGTCTATGGACAACACCATCGCTTTGGCTTAGAAATGAAGGTGATCACCAACCCCCAGAGCCGGACACGACTGGACTTAATGTCACAGTAAAACCTTTACCTTTACCTAAAACATATAACAGATTGCATTCACTATTAAAATCACGCCATCCCTCTGTGACCAAACCTTTCTTCCATGAATTGACAATGCAGCCTTCACCCTCCTCCCAACTGTAGTCTGCAGGAAGTGAATAGTTACAGTTCCCTATTCCTCATCCAAAAATGTCAATGTCATTATGATTCAGTGTACTGTATACTGGAGAGAAAGGGTGGCTCAAGCAGCCCTGATATGCTGCATTAATCTTTGCTCCCTTGATAAGATTTTAAACTCTCAAGGAAGCAGAGGATGAGGAAACAAAGAAGTTAGATTGGAAAATTCTTCTGGTGGTTTCCCAGCTGCTTTGAAGGGGAGCACCAAGAAGATGAAAAGAAAACATTTTTGCATCCGCATACTTCTCTGCATGCCTGGAAATTACCTAGTAGTTATGCTTAGTGGAGCATAAAGAGTGATTTCATCTTTAGGGTGAGGGGGATCCACACAGAACGGTTTTTATAGCCAGACAACTCACTTGCTCTTAGCCTTTCCTAAAGCAACATATTTGAACCAAAATCACAGTAGACAAGAAATTATGTCCCTCCACCTGTCAGATCAAATGGTGTGATTATTTTGTTGAGTCATCTGTGTTTCTTGTTCTGCACATGGAATGACTGTTCTTATCAATGATGCAACAGCTCTGTGTGTGAAGAGTGCGTATTGTAGACCCAAATTCCTTTGCTTTGAAAACAAAAGAGCTTTCTGTTTGGTTTGTATTGGCAGTATCCTTTAGTTAATCATTAGGTATGAAAGTAAGGCAGTAATGAATTATGTGCACTTCGGCTTTGGCTGTTTAATTTTGAATCTATACAACCACGGGCATTTCAGCTTTAGAACTACCCCTCCCTCCCCACTTTACTGAGTTCCATAATGATAGCCCACGAGAATTGGAATTGAGGCATAATGTGGAAGCAAAAGGAGAAAGGACTAAACTGGGTTGTGGGATTTATTCTTTCTCTTCTTTGTTCTAGAAAAGCCGCTTGGACGAGCAAAGGTGTTCACTTCCTGCTCCACTCAAGGTCAGATCAGCTCTCTAAACTGGGACGTGCAATTATTCTGGCTAGGTCGATCAGTCTTGACTGTATTACTTATTTAATTGCTTGCCACTTCCTTTTCTTGTTTTGAAGCATTCTGAATGGAATCAATGGGTTTTTTTAAAGATATTAGTGCCAGTTAAAATGGTTTTTAAAAACATACCACGGTTCCATAGTCCTGGTATGATGCTAAGACTGTTTATTAAACACTGCTAAATTACAGGGTAAGCTCCGATTGTTAACCCCAGCTTTTGCCAACCTAGCAATTCAAAAACATGCAAATAGGTATAGATCAATAGGTACCATTTCAGCAGGAAGGTAACAGTGCTCCATGAAGTTATGCTGGCCACATGACCTTGGAGGTGTCTACAGACAATGCCAGCTCTTCGGCTTAGAAATGGAGATGAGCACCACTACCACCCCAAGTCAGACATGACTAGAATTAAAGTCAAAGGAAACCTTTATCTTTACTAACACTGTGGCTGCCTTGCTCGCCTTAATTTTCCCCTTAATATTACTTAGTGGGAAGCACAGTGGAATCTTTTTGGCCCAGGGATGAAATGGCTTCAGGCATGTGCTACCATCATCCTGATAGATCATGAATTGAAAATGGAAGGTTGGTGGAAAGCAAGACTGGAATATGTGTGTTGGCATTACTGTCATATGTGCCTTTTGCCCCTTGGGGTAACTGAATATGTTTGGCCTGGAGAAGATGGAGAGATGATGTAATTGCCTTTTTCTGAAGAGGTATCAGAAAGAAAATGAAGCAATTCCATTTTCCATGGCAGAGAACCCAAAAATGGGTTAAAAAATACAAGAAACTATGTCTTGACTACACTTTAGGGCAGCAACTGGATTTCAGCTCTAAAACAAAGAGATGGAATACTGTATTCTCCAATATTTGAAGTGTTTCAATCAAGTTGGAAAGTCATCTGTTGCAGATAACTTTAGCTGTGAAAACTGAAACACATGTGACCAAGCCATACCAGAATGTAGTTAATATGAAATTTCTTAATGGGTTATTAATAAATGATCTTTTTTATGCTTCTAGAGAGAAGAGGAGTACATCCCATACCCCAGTATCCATGAGGTCAGTCATGAACTCTGAGTCTGTTTTAATGAGTAAAACCTGATTGCAGAGATATGCAAACACACATACACTCACGCACACACACAAAGGCCAGGTGGAAGTTCGGATGCTTAAATGCGGGAAGAGCTGAATAGAATTTCAATCATGCAAGCTGAGCCTTTTCTTTTCATCAGATCTTGCTCTAGTTAGGTGAACTGATCGAACAAAAAGATGAATCTGCTAGAATTGTTCAGTGTGGCTTCAAAAGAGGAGATGGGGAGGGAAAGGTCATAAAGCAGATGTCCATGGTGGTAAGGAAGGAATAAAAGCCTGTTAAGAAACTGCCACATGTAGAGTCAATGTTTAACAAGGGTATGGCACACCTTGGGCATGTCACACTAGGGACCTCTTCACATGGCCCATGGGGGCCATGTTGTTGTGCTAGCAATCACTGATGAAAAGGCTGGCTCGCGGGGTGCCTCATGGTACCCCACGTGCCCTCCCTCCTTCCCCCATTATATGATGGGGACAGGACGCATTGGCACCAGATGGGAGAAAGGGCAACAATGTGTGACAATACTCATTTCCCCAACACTCTTTCTCCCATTATATGGGGAAAAGGGGAGGAAAGTGTGGGTAGCTCCATTGGAGTTACCTGAAGAACACTTTCCTCCCTGTGGTGGTGGAGGAGGTGCCTTTTGACGCTTCCTCTCCACTTCGGGTGGAATGTGGACAGGGCCTGCCATGCATCATCTGCATCAAATATTGTAAATAAAATGAAAAAAACCCCACATATTTACAGTGATTATGATTGTAGTTCAAGTGTGTACGCTTATAAAATTATAGTAATGATCAATATCATACTAAAATTCTACAAGTAGACCAGTGAGATCTTGCATCCCCAGTCATCTTGTTTTATTCTGGTCTGCATATTCAAAGTTCTTTCTTCATAGGTGTTACGGAGAGGGTGGCCCTATCCCCTGGTTATCCTACCCCAGTTTGGGGGCTACTGGATTGAAGGGACCTCTCACAGCCTACCCATCTCAGACCCAGAATTGCAGGACTTGCCCTCCCCTTGCAGTGGCAAAGTGAAGCTGGAGTGCGACCCCACAGCCAAACTCTACCGGAAGCATTTCCTAGGAAAAGTAAGAAACAGTAATAAACACCTAACATAAACCTTCCTGCTTTTATTTAATTAATGTGTTCTTTATTAATTGTTTGCTTCCACTGTTGGAAAGTTGAAAATCTGTGTGCTTTAAAAATACCACAGCATAAGTATCTATCCTGTAGTCTTCTTATACTACCCTGTGTGTGTGTGCAGATAAGCTAACACATAGGGCCCTTCCAGACAGGATATGATCCCAGGTTTCTGCAGTAAACTGGATTATATGAGTCCCCACTACCACATAATCTGGGATAAACAGAAAACCTGGGATCAGATCCTGATATAGGATCCTAAATCACTTGAACAGTTGCTATATCTGCTACATACTAATCACTGAGGTTACAGAGAAAATATAGAATGCAGAAAATATATAAGCTTAGCAAAACTAGCACATAACATGCTGCTCACACACAGAGAAAGCAAATGGTTTGACCACCAAGATTTTCCCTGATACACACTCTTTTCCCACAGCAGATTCAGTCATGCTCCAGTGCCCAGCTAAGTCTTCTTGTGTTAGCTCAAGTTAGTTCAAGATAGTCTACAGCAGTGATTCTCAACCTGTGGGTTCCCGGGTGTTTTGGCCTTCAACTCCCAGAAATCCCAGCCAGTTTACCAGCCGTTAGGATTTCTGGGAGTTGAAGGCCAAAACATCTTGGGACCTACAGGTTGAAAACCACTGGTCTACAGCAATAATTTCCAAACACTAGTTCTCCAGGTGTTTGTACTTCAACTTCCAGAAGCCTCAGCTGAAGATCTGATTGCTGAAATCTAAAACACCAAATACCAAAGTTTGGGAAATGCTAGTGCAGAATTTGGGAGGTTGGGTGCATGTCCTGTAGGGGTTGGAGATATGAATCTGTATAGCTATCTACCTATACATTTTTCTGTTCACCATTAGGTATACATATTCTCCTCATTGTGATAAAATCTTTACAAACTGCACACTTTTCAGAGGTGATTCATTGTTCAAAAAAACGGCATTTTCTGCACAGAAAACACTTCTGGGCAGAAAACCAATTTCCACATACCAAAACCACGTGCATTTTTCATATAGAATAAGTTGAGAATTGCAAGACATATTGCTCATCTAGGATTTTCCTGATCAAGATTTTCCAAATCTCAAATCCCATTTTTGAAAATATATTTGAATATTATTTCCATCGCAGATATGCAGCAATGCTAGTATCTTGTTTTTAGGAACATCAGAACTTTTATGCCTGTGATGCGGCCCTGGGTTACTTGGTCCTTTCTGTGAAGTATGAACAGGTTGAAAAGCAAGATAACCTCCACCTGCTGTTAAGGTAAAACTGCTCTTTGGTGAAAACCTCAGTCATGTTCATTAATTAATTAATTGCAAACAACCTCATTTCTGGGACAATCCCCCCCCTTCTCAATCTCTCTCTCAATCTCTCTCTCAATCTTTAAGGGTCCATTTGCTTTTATTTGTTCATTCATTTTGTATGTAAGAAAAATGGTTTTGTATTTAGAACAATGTAAGAAAAAGGCTTTCAAAGCAACCTGCAAGTTAAAAGAATGTAATTTGGATGGTAATTTACCACTAAAATCCTTTGTAAGTGCACACCCACAATGCATCTCAGTGACTGCTCATGGAAAATTTTCAGTACCAGCCATGCAGAAGCTTTTCAATTCTTGTTTGACACACTCTTGGTGGAAGAATTGGTGTTTCACTGTTTAGTTGCCACATGGGGTATTCCCCCTTCTAGAAAGTTCATTTTTGAAAAAGGATGCACAAGTCCATTGCCTCCTCCAGATTGGAGGCACTTCATCTTTTGTTCTTATTGTTGTTATTGTTGATTTGTGTTAGGAGTCGAACCAATACCAAACATGATCTGATCCCTATTTCCTGCCTGAATGAGTTCCCCAATGCTGTCCAAATGTCAAAGGTATGTTGCTGGTTCAACACTTTTGCAGTCTGACTGTTTCTCCTTTTTTCCTTGTTATGTGCATTATCTATTAATGCTCTTGTTTGCTCTAATCTCTCTTTTTCTGGTAAAAATGTATAACTGAATTTGTTATTTTTTAAGTTACTTTATGACACTTTTTTCCTTTTGAATTCAGCATGTCTCCAGAAGATCAGTTGGAAGTTGAAAACATAATCAGAAAGTTTTAAAATAAAGACTTAAGAGTATAGGCAGACTGAGAATGTGGATATTTCTTCAACCATCTGCAGTATATATGTTCATATGATTTGGGATCCTAGTTAGTTGCTGTGTACTCCCTTTAGTTAAGAATGCCCTTGTACAAGGTACCCTTATTTTCTTGTAAGCGCTGGATCTTTTGATACTAGCAGAATAGAGAATACTTTGCTCCACAACCCACTAGGAGTCAGGCTCCCAAATGTTCCTTGTTTAGGCACAAGCATATAGGATGTCATCCATCTCTCTTGCTAGTGAAATTCTGCTTTTTCTGTTCTGTTTTGTTTCTGTGGTTCAGATTACTTCCAGATGGGCAGCTGATTTAAAAACCAATTTAAAAACATTATCTGTTTATTCCCCTTTCCCTCTGGACTGTGGAAACAAAAAGACATCATGAAGAATGAAGGGTTGTCTACATTGGACCTATACTCTGGTTTCAACAAGAGGTTGCTCCCAAACCTCCATGTGATGTCCAGAGATTTCTGGGTGGTAATGTGGGGTAAAACTGGTTAGCCCAGCAATGTGGAGGAACTCAGAAGGGTTGCAGGTGGATGATGACATGAATGAGATATGATTGTTTTCTTAGTGTTATGTTTATGTTTTATAATGGTTATTCTGTATGAATTTGTGTTGGTAATTGAATGCTTTACCTATGCCGGAAACCACCCAGAGTCCCCTTGGAGAGAGCGAGCGGTATACAAATAAAGTTTTTATTATTTATTATTATAATCTGATGACATGACAAAAACTTTATCTGGAAGCTCCCTATCTTCTCCTGCCACTGCAGTTATCTCTGAAGAAAATCCTAACGTGAACCTATGACCTATCACATGATATTTTGGGGATTATTTGTTCAGATGAGGGTTGGTTTTTCCCTGCTCTGAGCGTCTTTCCACTCAGCCCTATATCCCAGAATATCGGGGCAGAAAATCATATCTGCTTTGAACTGGATTGTCTGAATCCACACTCAGATAATGTTGGGTTTTCTGCCTTGATATTCTAGGATATAGGACTGGGTGGAAGGGCCCTGAGGGCCCTTCCTGACAGGTCGTATATCCCAGTATCTAATCCCAAGTTTTCTGTTTATCCCAGATTATCTGGCAGTGCAGATTCGTGTAATCCAGTTTAAAGTAGAAAACCTGGAATCAGATCCTGGGATATAGGGCCTGTCTGGGGGCCCTTCCACACAGCCCTATATCCCAGAACATCAAGACAGAAAATCCAACATTATCTGAGTGTGAATTCAGATAACCCAGTTCAAAGCAGATACTGTGAGATTTTTCTGCCTTGATATTCTGGGATATACGGCTGTGTGGAAGGGCCCTGAGACTAAGGGCCCTGAAATTAAGGGCCCTTCCACACAGTCATATAACCCAGAATACCAAGGCAGAAAATCCCACAATATCTGCTTTGAACTGGGTTATCTGAGTCCACACTCCCATATATTCCAGTTCAAAGTAGAAAATGTGGGAGTTTATTCAGCTGTGTGGAAGGAGCCCAAGAAGGTGTGACTTGCCCAAGGTCACCAAGTGAGTTTCCTTGGACTTGAACCCTGTTTTCAAAAGTTGTAGTCAAACACTTCAATCACTACACCACACTATATATAGGAACAATTTATTCATGAACTTGATTACTATTCAGCAAATTGCTTGTTAATGCTAGTATATATGGGTGAAAAATTCTGAAACAGTTAGGGCTTGTCCACACAAGCCCTAAACTCCACAGTGGACCAGACTTTGCTCCTGGATGACTACACAATGTCTAGGGACTTTCAGTTCTTACTGCAGGTTCAAAGCAGATTTTGTGGATGATCTGATTTGATATTCTGGATTATATGGCTGTGTAGAAGGACCCTCAGTTCCAACACTGTCACGGGTTGGGGACAGAGTGACCCCAGGTTCATTGGCCAGTGTAGACATAGACAATCCCTCATAAATATCTAGAATTTGCTGTTCACACTGAATACTAGTTTATCCAATGACAAATTTAAAGCCTAAATGTAAATTTTAAACCTACTTAAAGAGTTTAGAATTGAGGAACTTACAAGCCTATTCCATATGCAGAACTATTCAAAACTCAGATTTGTGAGGGTAAATCTTCTCACTTTGCTAGATAACTGAACAACTCAGCCCCTTCCACACAGCTCTATAACCCAGAATATCAATGCAGAAAGTCGCACAATAGCTGCTTGAACTGGGTAATTTGAGTCCACACTGCCATATATTCAAATCCAAAGCAGATAATGTGGGATTTTATCCAGCTGTGTGGAAGAGGCCTCAGATGAATTGTTTCAGTGATATGTTGTCCTGCAATGAGAATGCTAACCCTTGCTCCTTTCCTCCTGCAGCTGCTGTGTGAGGATGTGAATGTTGACCGCTTCTTCCCTGTGCTGTATCCCAAGGTAGGCTTAGATCCTGCGGTTTTCTGCACAGATCACAGGTGCTCGAACCCACCTTCACTGCTCATTCATGCTGTCTCTTCATCTTCTAGGCTTCCCAACTCATTGTTGCATTTGATGAGCATGTCATCAGCAATAACTTCAAGTTCGGAGTCATCTACCAGAAAACTGGACAGGTAATACACATTGCTACATCCATGTTTTGTGTGTCAAAGCGAGGTATAAGTGTTGGGAGAATCTGGGCAAGAACTTGACTTGGTCATTTGTCTGCCTTCTCAAAAGTTTCTTTCATTTCCAATCATTCCTATTTTAGTTAATCCACTTTTCCCACTTCTCATTTCCCCACCAATATATGTAGTCATTGGAATTATCTGAGAGGGAGAGGTAAGACTACTGTGAAACTGAGCAACATTATAAAATCAGAGAATAATAGAATCATATCAAAGGAATCATATCATGTCTAGCAGGAATTTGACTGAGAATTGGCTGTTTTTCGAACGTCTTCCATGTTTGTCACTTTCCAGACTACAGAGGAAGAAGTCTTCAGTAATACAGAGGAGAGTCTAGGCTTCTTAGAGTTTTTAGATCTCCTTGGAGACAGGATTCAGTTGCAGGATTTCCGAGGGTGAGTAACTTGGGCATTAACATTGTTCTTGGCAGGTAACACACTGTGACTTAAATTAATGGTAAAGCCTCTAAATACAATTGTGGGTTGAATGTAAGTGGTGTTTCAAAGTATTCATGTGCTCAAGGAACAAAACAGTTTGAAGTCAAGATTAAAGTCTTTACGTGAAAAAGAAGGTTTGAGTAGGTAAGGAAAGTGAGGGACAAGCTGTGTCTTTGTATTTGTGAGAGTCCAGACTGGTTGAGCCAAACATATTTCCTTTGAGATGTGAAAAAGCATATAAAAATGAAACAGAAGCTGAGGGTGGATCTAGATTGCCGTATCTATTATCTAATCCCAGATTATCTGATTTGAAATGGATCATATTAGTTTATACTGCCATACAATCCAGTTCAAAGCAGATAATTGGTATCAGAAACTGGATTATATGGCAGTGTAGATGGGGCTTGAGCAAACTAGTATCTTCAGTGCTCTGAGAAATGGTTCCAATGTGTTTCTGCTGGCTTTTTTCCCCTTTGAAGTTTTAAAAAAAAGCAATAGCAGAGTGTACCAGGGCTCTATCCCTGTATTTACTAAAATTGTTTTCCTTTTTTCATTCCTTTGCTTGCTTCCTCACCCATCGCCATCTCCCCTCACCTTTCCTGTCTTGATCTTTTCAGGTTCCGAGGTGGCTTAGATGTTACAAGAGGACAAACAGGAACTGAGTCCATCTATACCATCTTCCGGGGCAAGGAGATTATGTTCCATGTCTCAACAATGTTGCCCTTTACAGAGGGAGATGCCCAACAGGTGCTGTTGATGCATTTGAATGGTTAAATTATGGCTTTAAGGCAGTCACCTCCTTATTTTTGCTCCTGTCTTTCCCTCCCATGAGCTCGTGAAAGAAAACCCCAAGAAGCTATTTCCCATTTCTCCCAAAGAAGAAATAATGTGTTATGGCTTTCTTCAAGCAAGACATAATTTGGAATCCAGATTTAAACAATGACTTCATATCCCAGTGTGTTTAGAAGCCATGACCCATTATTTTCAATGCAGGCATAAAAAGAATGAGTGGTTAACTGCAGCTTCCTTGTTTGATTCCTGCTCATGTAAAGAGTGATGGGTTATTGGAGTTTGCCTATATCAGAAAATGCTCTCTTTCTTCCAGAGTTCCAGCATGACTTTGTATTTTACCAATCGTTGTCATCACAGCTATATTTTGATTTTATATGATATTTCATGCTTGGGCCTGGGCTTTAGCACAGCTGGTTAATTGCTAGCTGCAATAATTCTTACTAATCAAAAGGTTAGCAGTTTGAAGCCCGGATCGAGGTGAGCGCACGACCTTCAGCCCAGCTCATTGTCCACTTACACAGTTAGAAAACAGCTGTGAGTTTAGGTGAGTTAAGCAGGGAGGTATTTTATGGCACGATAAAAAAAGATACCATAAAATGCCGGTGATCTAAAGAAAGGAGGAAGTCTGTGATCAAGGGCTCTTCAACAGCACCCCCTGTGGACAGAATCGAGCACAACCTCCAGGACATCAAAGTTGGGAAAATGCCTATATATATATATATATATATCTGATATATATATATATATCTGTTGTCTGTCCTGTCTGTTTAATAACATTGAATGTTTGCCGTATATGTGTTCTGTGATCTGTCCTGAGTCCCCTTCGGGGAGAGAAGGGTGGAATATAAATGCAACAAATAAATAAATAAATAAAATTAGAGAAGAAGATACTTATGTGAAATGTTGGCTTGATGAGAGAATTCTTCCCCTGAATCAACTGATTGTTTTTTTTTCTTCTGGTGATTAGTTTTTCCCAGTCACATGTTTAAGGGCTAGAACTACCAAATTCTACAGAATGGCAGTATTTTCAATTGACATTTATATTGGCATCTAAATATGCTAACTATAACTCTGAGCATCACGGGGTCTAGTTTTGGAGATGCTCACTTGTAAATACTCCGATTTTATTTGTAAATATTTCTATATTTCAGTATTTTGTTTATATATTGTATAAACAGATTTATTGTTATTTAACAGAATGATTGATAAATTTGAGAGGCTTGTTTTGAGTAATGCCAGGAGATTCCATATCTGCTATATTTTTGGATTTTTAAATCTGATTTATGCAGCGAAAAATCTTTTTTGTGTATTCTGGGCTCTACAAAGTTTAATATGTAAAACTTTAACTACATTGTCTAACTCCATAAGCTTTGTTGGCTGAGAGGTAATAAAAATGATATAAATAAATAAAATGATTTGATCATGCTCAATGGTAATTTTCATTTTGAGAAAGAGCAGCTGAATTAATTTTCCTTTGGAGCGATCTATGATTTTTTGCAGATGTACATGTATTTTTACCTTGTTTGCCCACATCTTCAATATTATGTTTTGATAAGGAGAAATCAATTTTCCATGTTCTTTAAATGAATGAAAGACTTATACTCCAGTATTGGAAAGAGCAGAGCCCAGCCTCTTGTATTTGATGGACCTCAGAACACTTTTAAAATTTGAAAATATCACATCTAGAAATTGACTCTGCATTGACAATTGTTTGGATATGTGGTTGTCTTTTCTAGCAGATTATGAACTGGTAGATTCTCATTGCCATTTTTATTTTATTATGTATTTATTTTTTTATTTTTTCCCTTCCAAGTTTTCTTTCAGTATGTTTTTTACATAATGTAAGAATGGATTTTGGAATCTTACTTTTGTGTTTTTCTTCCTAGCTTCAGCGGAAGCGCCACATTGGGAATGATATTGTTGCCATTGTCTTCCAAGATGAAAATACTCCTTTTGTCCCAGACATGATTGCATCAAATTTCCTTCATGCCTATGTGGTCGTGCAGCTCCATCACAATGCCCTTGGAGAAACAATGTACAAGGTAAATGTACTCAAGAGTCTATTATTTATTCTGAAAGCCACAGGCATTCTTCATCCATATTTGTACATATCTTAAGATCACGGAAGTGGAAGGGAGTCCTCTACTTATGGAAGTGAAAGCCACAGGGAAATTAGATCCTCTATTCAGACTCAATATGGACAAAGTAATGACAGACAAAAGTGGCAAGGGCAGAACCACCTGATCATCTGATCACAAGCCAAGTGCAGGAGGCCTGGGTGGAGCTTATGCACACTGAAAGTTCAACTCCAATCCAGTTCTAGGATCTGGAAGATTTTGGGAAGAGTTTTAGCACCTCTCTCCCTAATGTGCATGTCTGGATTGCCAAAGTGCTAGTTCCTTAATCAGTTTAACCATATGTTGTGGTTTATACCTAAATGCGCTGAAGCGCATTACATTATGTATTTTTGGCACGTCTTGTGATTTTGCTTATCCTGGTTTAGGACCTTGAAAGTCAAGCAGAGTGCCAATGAGTAGATAAATGGGGTATTTATTTATCGTGTCATCCGCAACCAGAACATTGTATTACATTTCTAACAGAACAAAACAAACAAACAGATTTAAAAACCCACAAATTTTGCAAACTTGGTAGCTGATTAAATGTCCTTTGACCAGTATCTGGCCACTTGGAGTGCTTCTGGTGTTGCCGCAAGAAGGTCCTCCATCATGCATGTGGCAGGGCTCAGGTTGCATTGTAGCAGATGGTCAGTGGTTTGCTCTTCTCCACACTCGCATGTTGTGGATTCAACTTTGTAGCCCCATTTCTTAAGATTGGCTCTGCATCTTGTGGTGCCAGAAGCAACCAGAGATAAATGGGGTGTCGCATTTGGGGACAATTGCGACATAGGGGTGGGGAGAGGATCCCTAGGTTTGCTGCCCAATGGTACTGAATCATGTTCAACATGGCTGGGAAATAGGGACTCCCTGCCATCTCTAAGGCAACTGAAGGAGTCTCTATAAGGACACCACCCAGCCTTAATCCAGCATCTGGGATACTGAATGAAGACCATATTACATGTCAGTGTAGAAGGGACCTAAGAGTGCAGCTCTTTCATCAGGATTAAATTTCAATTTGTTCACCTTCCTCCAGTTCATTACTGATGATGGTCATTAAACAACTTCCTTGGCTTGGGATGAAAGGAATAACTGAATTGGGTGCCATCCACCAAAACTCCAGGCAACCTTTCCCTGGGGTTTCATATCTATATTAACTAGACATGTCCCACTACGGCAGTGTGATTTCCCATGTGTTTACTCACCATTCAGCAGTGGATTCAGTGGGTCTACTTTAGTCAGGATTAACAGGAAAAAAAATCAGTTGAAGAAATGATGCCTTTCACCCTGTTAAGACTATAGACCCTTCACAGCAGGGTCTGTCCTCACTGGTGAATTGTTTGTATCTTTTAATTGTTTCAGGTTTCTGTCACTGCCCGTGATGACGTTCCCTTCTTTGGGCCTCCTCTTCCAAATCCAGCAGTTTTCAAAAAGGTTTGTGCTAGATGAGTCCCTCTACCATTTGAAATAAAAGTCTAGTGATGAACGCTAAACTGGTAAATTTTTGACATCGAAGATTGACTATTCCATGCAGCTTTGAAGAGATTTAAAAAATCTGTTCTCCAGATGCAGATCTACAGCAAGAGTGAAATTGTCTCTAGGTCAGTGGTTCTCAACCTGTGGGTCCCTAGGTATTTTGGCCTACAATTCCGAGAAATCTCAACCAGTTTACCAGCTGTTAGGATTTCTGGGAGCTGAAGGCCAAAACATCTGGGGGACCCACAGGTTGAGAACCACTGGCCTTGATGTTACTGAATTGCAAGTTCTATGAAGCCTAGGCAGACTAGCTACTAGTTGAAAGCAATTGGGGAGTTGTAGCCCTATGGGCCACAAGATTTCCACCCATGCTTTTCAATATATTATGATCCTGTTGTAAAAGCTTCCTTAATGTAATGTATAGATTTAAATGACCATGTCAACTCCTGAAAACTCTGTAATCAATTTTAACAGAATTTTAGGGGGAGAAGTAGATTCCAGACAATTGTAGACTTCAATTTGTCACACACCTAGGTTTTCCCACTGAGGCTTCCATTTATCTTTCCATGGAATAATGTTATGAAGTAAAAGATAGAAAAGTTGCATATTGCATCCTGAATGTTAATGCTAGAAGTCTTCTATCTAGAAGCCTCTTTTTCACTCTAGATTAATACAGGTTTCCATCACATATAAGGAGTTAATTGGCCAGGAATAAGGATAGCCCTGTTTTGCTAGATGTTGGGAGGATGAGAAATATATGTACATTCTAACAGAGATTGTTAGAGCCTTTCATTTTCATTCTTCTCCAACATCTCTGCTATCACTGGGGTTTTTTGAGAAAGGTATTGCATAACCTTCTAAACATACATTTATGAGCATACATTTATTCCTTCTCACAGGGCACCGAATTCCGCGAATTTCTTCTGGCTAAGCTCATAAATGCAGAGTACAGCTGTTATCATGCTGAGAAATTTGCGAAGTTGGAGGTGAGTTTGCATATTGACAATATCTATTTGGAGCAAAGATCCATATGTTTAGCAGAAAATAATATATTAGAAGATATGAAATTAATTGAGAGTCAAGAAAAAATGCGTAGCATGAACCACACTAGTTCTCTACAGATTTTGGGCAATTCCTTGTAATGCCTTTAACTATAAATGCGGATAAAACTATACACACACCAAAATATCTTTTAAAATGAACCAATAAATACCTGAAAGGGGACCAAAATCTACTACACAATACAAAACACTCAATTTGATTTTGGTAAAGGTATGAAAAGCCAGATAACATTCTAGACAATCCCAAATTATTTTGCTACAAACCAGGAAACCCCTGGTTTGTAGCAAATTAATTTGATAGTGGATTTATTCCATACTTTCTAGGAAGGTGTGGGGTAAATCCACTATTTCTCGTTCTGGACTGCAGAATACTGCAATCCAGACAGTATTCCCACAGTTTACCAAGAGAACATCTGGAGGCCATCCCCCGCTCCCCCCCCCCACGCCCCCAGATTCATTAGAAAAGTAATAAAAATTTACCCAGCCTCTATTAAAAGCCTTGACCGGCTCTCCTGGCATGTAAAAATGACTTGCCAGGAGAGTAGGGAGGGGGGAGTGAGGAAAATCGCTCCCTCCTCCCACTCTCCTGGCGTGTCATTTTTATGTGCCGGGAGAGCTGGCCGAGGCTTGTAATGGAGGCCGGGTAAGTTTTTATTACTTTTATAAGGAGCCTGGGGGTTTGGGGGGGATGGCCTCCAGATGTTCTCTATTATATATTTTATATTACATGCAATATTTCTAATAATATTACAATATAATGGTATAGTACAATATAGTAATATATAATACTGATATTGTACTATGCTAATAATATAATGTATGTACATATATCTTGTAAGCCACTCTGAGTCCCCTTCGGGGTAAGAAGGGCGGCATATAAATGTCGTAAATAAATAAATAGTGTTACTAATTAATTAAATGATATTTCCTAACACACCAAAACAAACAATGCCTTTTTCAAATAACCCAGGCAGTGCTGGGTAGTTAAGCTAGTTTAAAATAAAATGAAACACAATGGTGACACATGTAAAAAATGTTGCACTTTAAAGCTTGCTGGAATTAAAGAACTGATAGGTGCTGCATTTTAAGAGTCGGTGTTTTAAAAAAGGATGATGTCAGCTGCTGTCCAAAGAGACCAAGAGCAGGAGACTAAAAGTATTCCATAGTAGAGCAACACCACATAAGAGGCTCTTCTCTTGTGCTGAAAGCAAGCCATCCAACTACATATTATCTTAATTCCCAGACCAACCTAGATGGGATCAAGCAACCCATAAGCAAAATGTCTTAGAGTTAATGAGAATTGTTCAGTTCTAGAACGACTTCTTTGATTATGTAACTGACTCAGATTTGGAATCGCCATCAGTTTTGACACCCTGTCTGTTCTTTCTCTGCTTGTGCTTATATCCTGACATGTGTGCTCTCCTTCTCTCTTTCTGGAGCAGGAACGAACCCGCAGTGCCCTCCTGGAGAGCCTTTACGAGGAACTGCAGATCCGCAGCCGCAGTATGATGGGCTTGGCCTCTGGTGATGATGACAAAATAGAGAATGGAGGTGGTGGCTTCTTTGAAAATTTCAAGGTGAGGGAGGAAAAAGAGATGGCATTGTTTTTTTTGTCTCTTTCACTCTCCTGTCAGGTTGACCTATTTTAAGCTGCTCTGGGGCATATAATAATACATTATTTTGGGACACTGTAGAGCACTTCCCTGCAACTACACTTAGAGGTAGATAATAGTTAGGGAACTATAGCTCCAGGGGTGGGGACCTTTAGCTGAAAGACTAACATCTACTGGAGGCCTGGGGCTTCTTCACTTACAGCTCGTTCTTTGGTAAACTCCACTGTGCAGGCCAGATTCTTTCTTCACGAAATGTTTGCTGAAAAGGGGCGTAGAAGTCTTTGGGTGCATATCCACCATTGGTTCTCAACCTGTGCGTCCCCAGGTGTTTTGGCCTAGAACTCCCAAAAATCCCAGCTGGTTTACCACCTGTTAGGATTTCTGGGAGTTGAAGGCCAAAACATTTGGGGACCCACAGGTTGAGAACCATTGAACTACACTGTAGAATTAATGCAGTTAGATAACATTTTAACTGCCATGGCTCAATGCTGTGGAGGATTTGGAGCTGTAGTTTTACAAGGCTGTTAGACTTCTATGCTGGTGCCCCACCAGGATCACAGTGAGGATTGACTCCTAGGATCACGGAAGCAATCTCTGGAGTCAATTCCCACAGGACACGCACCTGGAAAGTTCCAGATCTTACATTAAGGTCCAGATCTTTCCAGGTGTTTAATTAATCTGGAGTAAACCAGGAGATCCCAGTTTACTCTGGATTGATTCAGATTTACCTGAGGCATCACTTGGGCAAATTTATTTATTTATTTATTTATTTATTTACTGTATTTGTATACCGCCCCTCTCAGCCTTCTGGCGACTCAAGGCGGTTTACAAGACAAAATTCAATGCCATAGAAACACAAGTACAATATAAAAAAGCGTTGACATCCATAAAATCATAACAATAACAATAAAACATAAATCAATAAATTCACATTAAAAACATTGTCCAGTCTCATCGTGTAGTTGTTCCAATTCCTTTGTCCGTTAGTCAATATTTGCAAATGCTTGCTCCAATAGCCATGTCTTGAGTTTTTTCCAAAATGTTAGGAGCAAAGAAGCCAATCTTATCTCCCTTGGAAGGGTGACATAGCCGAGGGCCACCACTGAGAAGGTCCTGTCTCTCGTCCCCGCCAGACATACTTGTGACGAAGGCAGGACCGAGAGCAGGGTCTCCCCAGACAATCTTAAAGTCCTTGATGGTTCATAAGGGGAGATGCATTCGGACAGGTAAGTTGGGCTTTATAGGCCAAAGCCAGCACTTTGAATTGTGCCTGGTAGCAAACTGGCAGCCAGTGGAGCTGGTACAGCAAGGGGGTTTTTTGCTCCCTGAGAGCTGCTCCTGGGGTTCCAGGCTCAGCGATTAATCCAGGATCACTCCCAAGCTGCGAACCTGTGCCTTCAGGGGGAGTGTAATCCCGTCCAACGCAGGCTGTAACCCTATTCGGGTTACAACGGACCAGGAGTGCCTCTGTCTTGTCTGGATTAAATTTCAATTAGTTAGCCCTCATCCAGACTGTCACAGCGGCCAAGCATCGGTTCAGGACCTGAACAGCCTCCTTAGTAGCAGGTCTCAGCATTGCTCCAACTTTACTAGCCAAAGGCTTGGTCCCAAAGCCACGTTTTTAGTTTTTTCCTGAAGGTTAGGAGGGAGCTGTTCTAATTTTGCTAGAGAGGGAGTTCCATAGCCGAGGGGCCACCATTGAGAAGGACCTGTCTCTCGTCCCCACCAGTTGGGTTTGAAGTGAGCGTGGGACTGAAAGCAGGGTCTCCCCCGACAATCTTAGCTTTCGAGGTGGATCATCAAGGGAGATATGTTCAGACAAGTAAGCTGGGATTTTTGCTGGGAAGTGTTGGCACTTATGTTCATTTCCATTAGACCTTTCTTAGCCATAAAATCTGTCTTAACTGTTGACTTAGAAAGTTTGAGTTCGGGAATGCAAAGAGAAATGCCTGATAAGTTAACAGAGTGCTACACTGTGAGTTTCTTGTTCAAATGCTTTTGAGCAGGTCATATCATATTATATTTGTTCATAATTGAGCTCCCCCAATTTGATAAAAAAATCTGGTGAATCTTAAATAAATGTGTAGCGCACAATCTGATAAATCTAGATTGTGTTTCTATCCCCATCTGACATTGTGTCTGGAGGTTTCAGAGATTTCTAAGTAGTGTAGGTTGTGATATTGTAGCATTATGATTTGACAGGTTGTATCTTGTAGCTATTTAGAAGAAAAGGGCAGATAAGCTTTAATGCGAGGGTTTGAATTCTTCCGCTAGTGTCTGATGTTGTTTTACCATGGGGCTTCTGATTATGAAGGTTGATTTGTAACCGTGGGCATAGATTGGAGGAAGACATTTGGGAAAGGCAGAACAAATCTGGATCATAGCAGGTACTGCAAAAAGAGTTTAGTAGAGTCATTCTAGTTTAATATGCAATTTCAAATGTGAGATTTATTCCAAAACATGAGATAAACATGAGTTTAGGATGGGAGGCAGGTAATGACCTTGGAGGGCTGCATTTAATCTGTGGGACATAGTTTGGGGACCCCAATCTAGAGAGCATCTTAGAGATAACACCTCTCTAAAGATCTTGATGTCCTCCAGCATGATTTTATAGCCAATGTCTAGTTGACAAGCGATCATGCTAGGAAACCTGAACATTCATATAGAGGTTTTCTCTCAAGTAAAACAAAAGCAATGTTGTTATTTGTGGTTTTTCACCTTTGTGGCATCCTCTGCCCCTAAACCCAGGGAACATAGAGACTGGTTGTACTCATGTGAGGCAAGTGATGTGGGGCAGTCTTAAAATCACACAAAGAGAAATATGTTATTGTAAGCAACTTCTGTGAAATTTGATTAAAAGCACTTTTATAAAAGTACAGTATTCCATCACATAATAATACAACTGCAAACGAGTCATTTTTGGGGTGGCAACATTGGAATGTTAGTATTCCTCATGTAATAGTCACACCTATAGTACACTTTCCTGAGTGAGTTAATGAAAGACGTGCCTGCTCTTTTGGTGCTCTAAGGTTTCATGGATACCAGCTTCTTTGCACTAGGGAAAGGGAGTAGGTGCATGATTCACTCCCCTGTGCCCCTGCCCTTTTGGCGTTATGGGGCTTGACTTGGCTGCCAGCCGAATGAAAGGTGAGACTGCCCTGTCTCCTCCTTCTTGGTGCTACAAGGCTTCACTCAACCAGCAGCCAAGTCAAACCTTCTTTCTAGCTGTGTTTTGTCTGCCAGAGCCCTACTAGTAAAATGGAAGGCAATGGTAATTAGTTCCCTCTGCCCTGCTGTCCCCAGTGTTCCATGGTGCTCTTCATGATGTCCTTTTGTGTGTCTGTGAATGTTTCTGTATCTGCTTCCCTGTTACCTTCTCTCCAGCGGGTGATCCGGGGCCGTAGCCAGAGCCTGGATACCATGGGCATAGCCATGAGGAAGCAGCAGCAGCAATCCATTCCTCCCAGTCGTCCAGCTACTGCTGGTCTGGCCCTCAACCAGAGTGTCGCCGAGGGCACCAAGGCTATTGCTGCGGTAAGGTCTTGGGAGGTGGTGCATCTTTAGTTTACTCTCTCCCTGCTTTTCCTTGGGCCTGCTGCTCATCAACACATGCTCTCTGCTCTTGATTTGTACAAAGGAGTGTCTTTTCTGGCATAGTTTGGAAATGTGACTGAAAATGGCTACAGGTTGAATATTAATATTTTAGATTTTTTTAAAATGCATTATCATTAATGGTAGGTCTCATCATGTGATGATATGTTTAGTGATTCATTGTTTGATTAGGCCACAAAAGATTTGTGAAACAGCAAGGAAATGTTGCTTATTATAACAAGAAATAGAATACAGTAGCATTAACTGAGGAGATGGGAGGTACAAAAGGTCCATATATAACTTTGTAATTCAAAAAGTTTTGGTTTGGTTACTAAAAAAACATAATGTGTTGTAATATGTTGTTTCCAAACTCTGCCCATGAAAATTTATTTTTCATTTTTAAGACGTTCCTTTCCTCATCCTATTTTTCTGTATCTGACTCCAAACTCATTCATATTGTTGTTGATTATTTGTTCAGTCGCTTCCAACTCTTTGTAACCTCGTGGACCAGCCCACACCAGAGCTCCCTGTCAGCCATCACCACCCCCAGTTCCTTCAGAGTGAAGCCATTCATATGCTGGTTATTCATATTCTGGTTATTATTTGGAAGGGCACTTGAGATTATGTTTATGAAGAATGCAAGTACTACATTATTTTATTTATTTATAGGTTTGTAAAATCTATAATATTTGTAAAATATTTCTAGAGTGAAGTTCAACAAAATAAAAAACACGTGTTTGAAAAGATATGAGAAATTTGGATTTAAATTAACATTCGTAGTGGAAAAAATGGCACCAAGAGAACATTAGAACTTTTTCTCAGGGCAAAGATTGAGATGTCAGTGCTATTCAAAGCATTACCACCAGGATTGTTAACAATCTGCAAGCCATTGGCTGCCAGTCATTTATCTCTTTCCCCTATCAGTGCGAGGAATGTGTAGGTTCCAGTTTAGTAGGTCTAGGAAAGCCAGGAAAAGGGAAATTCGCAGAGAAAGGCGCATCTATACAGAAAGCCAAAAGGGATTGTATATAAATATGGAGAAAGGAACAGTCTGCATGTCGTTGGCTTTTCTTTCTGTTTCTTGCTCCTTGGACAAAACTAAAATTTAGAGCCAATGTGCAATATACTGCTCTAAAGCCTTCCATATTTCCTGCCCCCAATGCACATCTTTGACTGTGCTGTTGAAACAGACACTTGCTTTACAGAAAATTATACTGGACATAAAAACAGGGGCGGCTCAACCCATTACGCAAAGTAAGCATTTGCAGTATAGTTGATTTTGCCCAGTGGCGCTCTTGAGGCGCTCTTGGGGGAAAATAGACCTTGACATATGCGAGTTGTAGTTACTGGGATGTATAGTTCACCTACAATCAAAGAGCATTTTGAACTCCACCAATGATGGAATTGAACCAAATATGGCACACAGAACTTCCACGACTAACAGAAAATATATATCAGTGATTGGTTGGGGGGAGGGGCGCAAAATACTGTTTGCTTACCGTTGAAAATTACCTAGGGCCGCCTCTGCATAAAAGAGAGGGAATATTGCACTGTTTTTGTAGGGCAGTTGCACATTTTTGCCACCAATTTTCTGGTCTGGCCATTGGAAACTAAACACTTCCCTATGTTCTTCCCTAAGAACTTTTCTATGTTCTTCTCTTTTTTGGGTTTATACTTTCCTTTCCTTATACTTTCCATTGTCACACTCAAATACCTGCCGATAAACTTCTTTCCATTCTAGTCTATCACCCATGTTATTTGCTCTTTCTCTTTTTTATTCCTGTTTTTGTCCCTTCCTGTCGTGTGTCTTCATATTTTTCTCCAGTTTTGGCAGCCCTCATATCATGGTCCTTGTACCTTGCAGCTCTCTGATAACAATACAAGGACAACGGCAGGAGTCCAGTTTCCTACCCTGTGTTCTTCCTCTTGTCCTCTCTATTCTTGTCCTCCTTGATCTCTTTCTCTTGCTCTCTCTTTTTCCTACTGTCCTTTCCTTCTCTCTAGTCCTTTGCCCTACCTGGGAGAAGCCCTTCACGCAACAGAGGCAGCCGCTTCAATGGGCGTCGTAGTAGTGCTATTGGCATTGAGAACATCCAAGAAGAGAAGAGGTATGAACTGCAGGAGGAATGGGCAAGGCTAGAATATTGGCAGAGAGGGGAGAGAGAGGGATGACAGCAGTTATCTTAGTCCCCTTCCACACAGTTGAATAAAATCCCACATTATCTGCTTTGAAATGGAATATATGGTAGTGTGGACTCAGATAACCCAGTTCAAAGCAGATATTGTGGGATTTTCTGCCTTGATATTCTGTGGTTGTGTGGCAGAGCCCTTAAATGCATTAACTTGTCATTTGGTATATTCTTAGAATGAAAGATCATTCGTGTATACGTGAAATGATATGCCTTCCCTTTTTTTATAGATATGACAACTATAACCCGTTGCTATGAGTCAAGGGCTCAGATATAACAGGCAAACCAAAAGAGTTCCTTTCCTAAATATCACTTGCTAGCAACATAGGACTGCTATTATCCTTATTTAATGACTGAAAATATTGATGTTGTTCCCTCTGCCTGGGGGTCCATTGGCACATAATCATTCAGCATTTCAGGAAGGATTCGCTGGATGTTCTATATCTTCTATAATTTACAAATATAATATTTTTATGTAGCATTCTTAAAAAGGTTATGCTGATAATCTTTTGGGGGTTTCTTCTGCTCCACTCCTTATGGATCAAAAAGAAAAGAAAAACTAGAGGTGCTTATGAGTAGACATGTTTTTTCCTGACTGGTGATCCACTGTTAGGAAAGCAGACCAGGATGAAATAGAATAAGAAAGCACCAGGTAGAACCTGTGGAAAAATGAGAATCTATTTTGAATTGAGCAATGGGAAAACCATTAAGAGGAAATGTGTCCAAAGGGAAGTTAAGAGCTGTAAAAAGATAAATATATCAGTATCCATTTTATTTATTTCAGTATTTTTTCTGTTTATTTATTTATTTCGGTATTTTCTCTAAACATATTTTTAGACAGCAGCGTGATTGTGAGCCATGTCTAGATAGGGGAAAACATAGATTTAAGACTTCAACTGAAATCTTCTAGAAGAAACATGGACAATTTTATATTTAAACAAACAGGTTCAATGAAGGACATTTAATTGGCACTGAAGTTAAAGTATGATTTGTCTTGACATTGAGATGTGGGACATCATCTCATCTCTCTCACACACAGAGAGGTGCAAGATATGCAGACAAATATTACTTCAACTGTAGTGACAGTTAAATGTTCTTCACTGCTTCTGAGGGCATCTGGGCAGCTTAGAACATGCAAAGCTTTGTCTTCCAACACTTCAGTGTTCCTTCTAGCCCAATGGTTCTCAAACTGTGAGTCCCAGATGTTTTGGCCTTCAACTCCCAGAAATCCTAACAGCTGGTAAACTGGCTGAGATTTCTGAGAGTAGTAGGCCAAAACACCTGGGGACCCACAAATTGAGAACCATTGCTCTAGTCCTTCCAGCATCTGCTGCTTGAGGTGGACACTCCACTTTGCTTAATGCTAGGGCTGTCCCTACACCTCATAAACAAAAAGAATGCGAATATATCAGTTTCAATCATCTATTGATAACAAAGATCATACCATATTAATAATAATATATATTAATAATTATTATATAAAGAACAGAGCATCCTATCCATACACTTCTTTGCCTTCTGGCTAAGTTTTTGATTGTAACATTTTTTGTGTTGAGCTTGGAGCCTAAAGTCCAATTTCCTACATCCAATGGATTTGGAATGTGACCGTTAATCATGTGAAGCCAGCTCCAGAATACAATAGTAAAAGTCCAATTTGCTATATAGGCACCCCATGGGCAGCAGTGCATCTCTTGGTATAACATAACATAGTAAAATGTAACAGGTAGGAAATCTATATCTGAAAGAGAGGATTGGATTGCGGCATGACAAATCCATTTGCTGGATTTTTTTTCTGTGGTGAAAATGAGTAAGAATGGAAAACACAGCCCAATGCCACAGGACATGTGAAACATTTGAGTTGCTTCAAACTATACAGCCCATATAGTAAGCAATAGTCCTACAAAAAGTTCTAATACCTGTCTGGATTTTGTCAGGGTGTGTTTAAATTGAAGTGTATAGTATAGTCATGCTGTCCTTCTATTCTGCCTTCGTTAAACCACACGTGGAATACTGTGTCCAGTTCTGGGTACCACAGTTGAAGAGAGATGTTGACAAGCTGGGATGTGTCCAGAAGAGGGCAACTAAAATGATCAAGGGTCTGGAGAACAAGCCCTATGAGGAAAGACTTAAAGAGCTAGGCATGTTTAGCCTGAAGAAGAGAAGGCTGAGAGGAGACATGATAGCTATGTATCAGTATGTGAGAGGAAGTCACAGGGAGGAGGGAGCAAGCTTGTTTTCTGCTGCTCTGCAGACTAGGACATGGAACAATGGCTTCAAACTACAAGAAAGGAGATTCCACCTGAACATTAGGAAGAACTTCCTCACTGTAAGGAGAGCTGTTTAGCAGTGGAACTATCTGCCCCGGATTATGGTGGAGGCTCCTTCTTTGGAGGCTTTTAAACAGAGGCTGGATGGCTGTTTATTTTCCAGTCCCAATTCAAGGTGCGGTTTGGGACCCGCCTACCTGCACGACCGCATTTCTGTCTATGAACCCATGCGACCTCTTCGATCTTCCGGAGAGGCCCTTCTCTCACTCCCACCCTCATCGCAAGTGCAACTTGTGGGGACGAGAGAGGGCCTTCTCTGTGGTGGCCCCTTGGCTCTAGAATTCGCTCCCCAGAGATATTAGGCAAGCCCCCACCTGGCAGTCTTTAGGAGGAGCCTGAAAACTTGGCTGTTCCAGTGTGCCTTCAGTGATTGAATATATGATATTCCCTGACCAAACTCTGTATAAAATGCCCTCAGAAGCACTTTATTTTATGGTTTGTGCAATTAAATCCTACCTCATCCCCAGATCCCCTACCTGATATTTTACATTGTCCTATCTCCCAGTGTCTTTATCTTTGAATTTGGCCCTGCCCAGTGTGATCATTTGTGTTTTAATGTTTGATTTTATATTGTTGTGTTGCTTATTTACATTGGTTTTGTATCTTATGTTATTTTATTTTCTGATTTTCTGTTGTGTTTTTGTGTTATATTGTGTTTACTGTATTGATGGGTGTGGACTCATGTAAGTCCCCTTAGGGAGATGGAGACGGGATATAAATAAAGTATTATTATTATTATTATTATTATTATTATTATTAACTGTCAGGGGGGCTTTGAAAGCAATTTTCCTGCTTCTTGGCAGGTGGTTGGACTGGATGGCTCATTAGGTTTTTTCCAACTCTATGATTCTACTACTTTTATTTTTCTTTTCTATCCAAAGTGTTTTTCACAAAATCCATTCGTAAGCCAAAGCGCTGCAAAGGCAACAGAAGATTCCTTGTTTAAATAGGCAATAGAATTCTATAAGATGGTCACTGAGGTGTAGGACTACTAAACAGAAGGCTGCAGTTATTTAAAAGGCTAGGAGAGAGAGAAGGATGTGCAGCTGATTGCGCCTCCTTGTGGAGAAAAAAGCATGGAGCATCAGTAAACACGATAACAATAATAACCATGTTAACCATAACTGTTTAAAATGTAAAATTTTAAATGCATTGAAAAATGTGTGCACTCAGAGTAAAATGTTTTAGGAATGACACGTGACATATTTTAAATTCCATGTAGCTAGTAAGTTTTGAATAAGTGAGTTTAGATATGGGAAGGGAGAGGATGAATCCCTGTAAAAACTTCCCTGCTGCCTCAAGTGGGATTCCTTTTGCAACCTTCATTTGTCTCTTATGTATATCGAATCTTAAGTAACTTTCACTATATTTGGGAGTGGAGTTACTCTCCAGTGAGTGGTTTACCATGAGGTGGTAATTAGTGCTGGGTGCCTACCATATTTTAAGATATTTACTGTTCACAATGCAGTCGCGTGTCTATCCAGATGCATGTTCCAATGAATTCATTTCCCATCCACATTTGTATAAGATTGCAACTGGGTGCATTGTATTTTCCTTCCTCTAATTGCATTATACTGGCTGCAGACTGAGCCCATGTGGCCACCACTTCTGCAAGGAAAAAAGGAAATATGTGATTTTGATTTTTTTTAATGGATTGTGAAGCAGGGTTTAGCTGCCACTTGCTTTCTGTTTATTCACTGATTCTCCAGTAAAACCTGACAATGCCCGGCAGAGCTTTAAGTATCATCCTCATCATTTCTAGAATTTCTTAGAGGTGTTTCTATGCTGCAGTAATAGAGTTCACAGGCTGTAGTAGGAGGTACCCTCGGGGGTGGGGGGGTGCATGTACACTAAAATTAATACAGTTTTACACTACTTAAATTGCCCTGAAATCATGGGACTTCTCATTTTGAAAGTGTTGATCCCCCTTCAAATTACAATTCCCAGGATCCCATAGCATTTAAATTCATTAAAGTCATACAAAACTGCCTTAATTCTACAGTGTAGATACAAGCCCTATGAGAGGTAACTGTTGAGAGGATTTTTTTTCGTGTCAGAAGCAACTTGAGAAACTGCAAGTCGCTTCTGGTGTGAGAGAATTGGCCGTCTGCAAGGACATTGTCCAGGGGACAACCGGATGTTTTGATGTTTTGCCATCCTTGCAGGGATGCTGGAGCTGACAGAGGGAGCTCAACCCACTCTCCCCAGATTCGAACTGCTGACTTGTTGGTCAGCAGTCCTGCTGGCATAAGGGTTTAATCAGCAGCTCAGCGGTTTAATACACTGAGACACCGGGGGCTCCAAGATGGATCTACACTGCCATAAAATCCAGTTTCTGAATCCATCTGCCTTGCATTGGAATATATGAGTCTACATTGCCATAACATCAAGTTCAAAGCAGGTAATCTGGATTCAGAAACCGGATTTTATATAGTAGTGTAAATGAGGGCTGCATGATGAGAATAGCTGCTATTCTCATCATGCTATCAATAGAGAAAGGCATATGCTAGTCAGTAATCAGACTTGTGGGAAAAGGCCAATCTTCAATCCAGTGAGCCTTTGGAGAATCTATGTTGCCTTTGTGCTTCTTGGAGGAGAAATTGGTTACGTTGCTTCCTAAAGACATTTACCATTCATGGGCAAATTCCTGGCTCTGCATAGTAAACTGTTCTTTTTTCCCCTCCAGCAAAGACATTGAAAGGATACCAAAGGTACCAGAGAGTCCAGGACCCTTCATCGATTTGAAATCTGATGGTTCCTCCAGTCCCAGCTCCCCAGAGTTCCCCAACAGAAAGAGCAAGTAAGTTGAGAACAGAAAGGGAAGGGAGACTCAAGACAAATAAATATCTATCCTACTCTGATATATCAGCAAAGAAGAGAGGTGACTTGAGTGTAGCAATCTGTAATGAAGCATATGAGCAGACTACAATTTTTCTAAATTTTGCCACAAGTATATTACAATGAGCAAAAAAACTTCGGAGGATTCCAAAGGTGATGATTTGGGACTTGTGTTCCTTCAGCAGAGTCCTCTCCAGTCAGACATCAGGGTACTGTGTGATGCAGCCTCTGTCCCGTTCCTCATCCAATGGAAGCAGCTGTTGTAGCGGAGTAAGAGAGAATGAGATGTCCGAGGAGGAGGAGAATGAGGCGGTTAGTGTGGAATCTTTTAGATTCCTTTCTCGGAAGGAATCTACACATCCCATTCGAGCAGATACAGCACCACTGGAAATGCCCTCTAAGGCCTGTTTCCCATTTCTCTTGTGCAGGCATTGATGTGCTCCCTTGAAGGTCCCCAGAAGCAGGACTCACTGGTTCAGAGTGCATGGTTAGATGATAGTGTCTGTACACCCAGCAGTACCAGCTCACCAGGTAAAGACTGAAATGAGTTTTTGCAAGCTCTAGGGCAGGATGGAATAATGTGCTACTTTTGCATCCTCATTCTTGCTATATGAAGTCACGACTGGCCCCTTACATCCCATACAGCACTGAAAGGGTGTGGGAAAGAAGGAACAAGTGTGTATCATGGCCCTTTCTCAATATGTGGACATGACCCCAGCCCCCAAATGAAGTCACAGAATATTGAGTAAGAGTGGAGGAAATGAGTTCTTGGAAAAGGACGATAAAGAAAGATTAAATAGATATACAAGGGTTAGAGAGAGTAATTTAACTATCTGCAGAGGAAATTTGAGAAATTATTATGAAATATTCTAGGAGCAGAATTGACAGCTGCCTTCAAACATTAGTGGAGCAATACATGATATATATGGTTTTTTTGGCTGTATGGCCATGTTCCAGTAGCATTCTCTCCTGATGTTTCACCTGCACCTGTGGCAAGCATCCTCAGAGGTTTGCTCAGAGGTCTGTTGGAAATGAGGCAAGTGGAGTGTATCTATATGTCTGTGAAATGTCTAGGCCCTGTTTCTGAGTGAATTCCAGATAGCAAACAATCAAGTGGCAGTTAACAACTCCCAAACAAAGGATCCCCCCAGGCAACAACAGCCAGGGTACCACAAATACACTCACTGATTAACTTTGCAGCTAATCAAGTTTGCTAATTGCAACATTCACACTTGCTTCAAACAGACATTTCTTTATTTAATTAATTAATTATTTAAAACATTTATATTCCGCCCTTCTCACCCCACAAGGGACTCAGGGTGGAGCATAACATATATACGACAAACATTCAATGCCGAGACATAAAGCCATAAATATATACAAACATTAAAATCACTTATATTTACATTAAAAGTTGCTTTAAAACCATCTCGGGATTTATCGCTATGTCTATATATCTTCTGTATCTATATATGTATGTCTTCTATCTTGCTATATTCACATATCTCTATATCTTCTATCTATAGCTATATCTATATATCTTCTATATCTCTTATATTTTCTATATATAGCTATATCTATCTACATATCTGCTATCTATTTTTTATTCTATCTATCTGGCTCTATCAAGAGTTCTTTCTCCCACCCTGGACATTCCACAGATATATATACACTCCACCTGCCTCATTTCCAACAGACCTTTGAATAAACTTCTTAGAATGCTCACTACAGATGCAGCTGAAACATCAGGAGAGAATGCTACTAGAACATGGCCATACAGCTCGAAAATCTCACAGCAACCCAATGATTCTGGCCATGCAAGCCCTTGACAACACAATAAAAGATATTAATGTAGCTGAGACGGAACACAAGTCAAAACTGCAAAAATTGTGAGAGGAATCCCCCTGTACCCAAGAAATCAAGGGCTGGGTGAGTTCAGTAGGCATACAATTCATAAGAAAGTAATCAGATATGTCTGGTGGGAGGAAAAATAGAATGGGGTAACTAGCACCCAGAGTGTAAGTATTTTTCATTTAATGTATTGTCGAAGGCTTTCATGACCAGAATCACTGGGTTGTTGTAGGTTTTTTCGGGCTACATGGCCATGGTCTAGAGGCATTCTCTCCTGACGTTTCGCCTGCATCTATGGCAAGCATCCTCAGAGGTAGTGAGGTCTGTTGGAACCCTTTTTCCTAGTTCCAACAGACCTCACTACCTCTGAGGATGCTTGCTATAGATGCAGGCGAAACGTCAGGAGGGAATGCCTCTAGACCATGGCCATATAGCCTGAAAAAAACCTACAACAACCCACTATTCCTCATTTAGTTTGAAGATGTCACCTGATAGATGTTAATAATATGACATAATATTAAAGGCATGAAGGAAGGCAGTCATCTTTCCTCTATGTTTCTAACAAAATAATATCCGCTATTCCCATCTTGTCCATACCTGGCCCACGTGGGAAAGTGCTATCCATGCCCATCGAAAAACTGTACAAGCGGAAGGAGCTTCAGCGGATTTGTTGTGGTTTGATCAAGTCAAGATCTTGTGAGGTTGACTGCTAGAAAAAAAGAAAAATGCAGATATTGAAATGCACAATAGTTTGGTCTTCATCTAATTGATAGTACTATATCCTGTGGTAACAGACTCCACTCATTCCTTTCAAATGGTGTGAAGAAGTAGTTTCTATTGCCTGTAAATTAAACTGGTTGACTTAGATTTCTAGTATTTTGAGAGTCAAAAAGTGGAATTATCTCCAAAAAATAATAATAAAGTGTCAGCCAGTGAGGTTTTTCAGAATTGTGAGTCATTTAAAAAAAAAAAGAAACAGTTGCTAACTATGCTAAATACAATACAAATAATGATGTGGCTACAGGTCTGTCAGAATCTCAGTATAGTTTAATATTCAAAGGTGGGCAGGCTACTTAGAGCGCAGACCCAGATCATCTAGTAGTACTCTTAGGAGAAAGGTAATTTTTCCTTTGTCTGTATGGTCCTTGTGGCCCTCAAAATGCTATAGTAAGATTCCTCTTGTAAAGAGCTATTGTCTAGTGCGATGTCTTGTAAGATAATTTGAATACTGTCATCCTGTATTAAGATATTTGGCCTTTTTATTAATAATTTTTATTCCAAATGACAAAAGATATGGTTACATAAAAGTATTAAAACATAAACAAGTTTTTAAGGTTATATTTTTTTTAATTGCACGTCTACATTTAACCTATTACAACTACAATACTGTAACTAAATATCTACTAAAATAACAGATTTTGAACACAAAAAATAAAACACAGAAATAAACACACTTGCATAGAGCAAAGACAGACAAAAAACCCTCATCTACAGACTTCTTACTCTTTATCTGATGGTTATATCTCTTACTAATCTATTCCCTTTACATGGTATTATATAGCCACACCTTCTTTTAATGACACTCTTCTAATTCATAAATTTCATAATTGACAAATGCCCCCATGATTCTTATATCAAAGTAATAAAGCAAATTCCTATCTTTCTTAAAACTGGAGAAATATTTCTCCTTACTTACTCTAGTTAGTTTGTCCATCTTGTCTAATGCACAATTTTTCACCAGCCGTTCTTGAATCCTTCATCTTCTTTTCTACATATTTGTGTTATCTATTTGATCCCTTTCTTTGTTGAACCTGTTCCTGTATTTAATCATCAATATGCTTAGTTGATACAGAATCACATTTCTGTACAGGTTTTTATTGTTTAGATATATAGGAATCTAGTCAGTAACTCTTATCAACCTCTCAGCTGAAACTTTTATATGGACCATCCAACAAATAAGCCATGGCTTCAGTCATTTTAATATGAATGACTTCTTTCAATTGCGCTGGAAGACCTCAAACTTAAATTATCTCTCTCCTTAAAATCCAGCACTAGTACTTATAAAACGTCCTCCTGCTTGTGCTTTCATTTCTCTGCAATTTCTGGCTCATTCTGAGACCCACGTTTGGGTTTCCCTGATTTCTGGTTCATCTGAGTTAGCTCCTCTGTCAACTTTCCCAAAGAGTTATGTATCTCTTTCATATCAGCTGATGCGTCCTTTCTCATCACCCTCAATTCATCAAAAACTGGGTTATTTTGATTGGTTCTTGTTAATCCTCAAAAACTCTTAATCCTTGAAGAGCCATTTGCTGTGAAATCCTTTAAGTTACTATTTGGTCTAAAATAGTGCATCAATTTTGCTTAAACACACAATGACATTGTAATGTAAATTCTTTCTTATTCTATTTAAGAGTTTGTAGTCTCAAAGATTTGATGTTATAAAGTAAACATATAAAGCAATCAATCTTTAAATATTAATCGTGTAATTGTTAAGTCCAGCCTTCCAAATTTCAATAAACTTTATTAGTCTATTTTAGAAGCTAGTGGGAGAGTTGCTGCTTAAAGCTACTTGCAACAGTGGGTTTATTGATTTATGTTCTTTTAACATTCAACTTGTTAATTTTTAAAAAAACTCACATCTCACTAACAAGCAGAAGAAATGCATTTCAGAAGGGAGAATAATTGGTCAGAGCTGTTCAGCAATGGAACTCTCTGCCCCGGTGTGTGGTGGAGGCTCCTTCTTTGGAGGCTTTTAAGCAGAGGCTGGGTAGCCATCTATCAGGGGTGCTTTGAATGTGATTTTCCTGCTTCTTGGTAGCAGACTGGATGGCCATCAAGATTTCTTCCAACTCTATGATTCTATGCTATTAATGGCACAATGGTTTTTCCTCATGGAAAAAATAAATTTCAGGACCACTTCATCTGGTGGCCAAGCTTCCTTTAGTGGTCTGGCAGTATTTCATCTGCAATAGAAGGCCCAGTGGGTGGCAAGATCCTTAGTGATCAATGGCCTGTATCACAGCCGTTTTTGGTCATCTGGGGTGGAGTTTCCACTACCTCGAAGGAGGCATCTTTAAAGCTTCCTTTTCAGATCCCTCTCACAAGGAAGCTGGATCCATTCACCATCTAGGTCAGTCTTCTGTTGTTTTGGTAATGGTTTGCTTCTCCATTCAAGATCATTAGATCACCTGTGATGTCTTAGTGCCATAGGCGATACATTAGCCAAGCAAATACTTTGGTTGTACAAGGCCAGACAACAAGTGAGCAATCATCTCTGGAATGTCAAAGGCTTTCGTGGCCGGAATCACTGGGTTGATGTAGGTTTTTCAGGCTGTATGGCCAAGTTCTAGAAGCATTCTCTCCTAACATGATGCATGCATCTATGGCAGGCATCCCCAGAGGTTGTGAGGTCTGTTAGAAACTAGGAAAATTGGGTTTATATATCTGTGGAAAGTCCAGGATGGGAGAAAGAACTATTGTCTGTTTGAGCTAGGTGTGAATGTTTCAATTGGCCATCTTGATTAGCATTTGATGGAAAAGATCCACCCAGAGGAAAAGTGTTCTTGCCATACATCAAGGGAACCACTGACTGTATTGGGAAGCTGATGAAGAAACACAACATACAAATAATCTACATACCCACTAAGAAAATCCAACAAATGCTACATTCAGCAAAGGACAAGAGGGATCCTCTCACCTGTGCAGGAGTTTACCACATACCATTCAGCTGTGGACAAGTCTACATAGGGACCACCAAATGCAGCATTGCCCAGACACGAATCAAGGAAAATGAAAGGCACTGCAGACTACTCAGAGAAGGCAGCCATAGCAGAGCACCTGATGAACCAACCTGGGCACAGCATATTATTTGAGAACACAGAAATGCTGGACCACACTAACAACCACCGTCAAGCTACACAGAGAAGCCATTGAAATCCACAAGCATGTGGACAATTTTAACAGAAAGGAAGAAACCATAAAAATGAACAAAAATTAGCTACCGGTATTAAAAAAAACCTCTAAAATCATAACAGTAAATGAAGACAGGGGAGCTCCAGACAAGAAACAATCAGGAACAGCTAATCACCCCTCAACCAAGGATGTCACCAGGAAGTAAGAAGCCAGATCTTGAAAATGCTAGGCCATCAAATGTTAATCAAGGTGGTCAATTAAAACATTCACACCTAGTTCAAACAGACAAGAGTTCTTTCTCCAATCCTGGACTTTCCACAGATATATAAACCCAATTTTCCTAGTTTCCAACAGACCTCACAACCTCTGAGCATGCTTGCCATAGATGCAGGCGAAATGTCAGGAGATGCCATACAGTCTGAAAAACCTCCAACAACCCAATAATCTCTGGCCACAGGAAGTTGGAAGTACAGAAGTGTTCGTATTTTTCTCTGTGAAATATGCCGAAAGAATGAATGTCGCACCCTTGATTTAACCTTCTGTTGTTGTTTCTGGTTCTTTTCAGTAACTCAGCTGCTCCCTTCTAGCAGTGCTTCAGGCTCCATGGAGAAGGGGAAGGGCGGTAAAGTGGACGCTCAGCGTTACAGTCCAGTATGTTCTAACTTACCATCATTTCATGACATTAAGGAAGCAGGGAGGTGACTTGTGGGTTCTATGTAACTTGAAAAACTAGGGGCAAAGAGAAAATGTTAAAGAAACTGCCCCTTCCTTATTCCACAGGCTTCCATTTTGTGCTGTGTGTGATCTCATCGCTGGAGGGGGTCTCAGTGCATGCTGGGTAATTCACAGGTAATCTGCATTTTGGGGAAGCCTCAGTTCTCAGGGAAAAGGGCATGTGGCCAAAAGGTGATGGAAATGGAGTAGGCTCTTTGCTACTCTTGGATACATTGATTGCATTCTTCTCAGTTCCGTCGCATTTCTCAATGTGTCTTTTCCTTGGCTCCTCACGGCAAATCGAAAATCTTCCACAAACAACTGCTATGTTCCCTTTTTGACATGATTTTATCATAAACACCTCTCAATTCTGATAATAGCCACTGCGAGTCTCCAGGATAAATTTCCAGTGATCTCTTGTTCTACGTGGTTGCCTTCTACTGCCCGTCTCCCTGTGTTGCTGTAGCTTTATTATTTGCTGAATCTCTCACTCACTGGCTGGCTTTTATGGTGTGTGTTTATGTTTGTCTCTTGCTTTCCACCTCTATCAGTGTTGAGTGTGCATCCTTTGTTAGTGTTGGTGTAATAAGTAGGCTTGGGTGATTTTTAAAAAATGGTTCAAAACTCGTTTTGGGTGTAGGGGGTACTGGTGGTTTGATTCAGAATTGAATTCTGAATGTTTCCCAAAAAATTTTCAGAACTTTCCAAAATTTCCAAAATTTCTGAATTGCTTCATTAATGGTAGATGTGATTGCACAGTGTATGGGATTTCTAGTGTCTTCTTAGGCAACTCACACCAAACAAAGAAAAAAATAAACAGCTCTGCCCTTTTTGCCTTGGAAGATAATTTCACTACTTTGGGAAGGAGAGTTTGTAAATTGTTTTTATATGTTGTACACTGCCGTGAGTCGCCCTAGGGCTGAGAACGGCGGTCTACAAGTGTAGTAAATAAATAAAATAAATAAATAAAAAAACACTGAGGCCAGAGAGACCAGCTACAATGCTGTTTTTTTTAAATGTCGGAGTGAGTGCTTTGGTTCCTCCATGTTGCTCCCACCCGTGCCACTCACCCCCACATACACTACTCTTGCAGTGCCCACCTGACCCAAACCCCAACAGCAACAACACATAAGCAGCAAGGCAGGCTGTGCCCACTGCCCAGCCAGCCAGGCAGGTAGGCAGCCAAGCATGGCTGGCAACAGTCCTTCTCCCAGCCCTTCTTCCTTTCTGCTTGCTTGCTTGTCCGCCGTGCTCTTCTTCCAACCTCTCTTCAACACAACCTCCCTTCCCCTAGTCTTTGTCTTTTCCTTTCCCCTTCTCCCTTCCCTTCCCCTGCTCTGAATGAGCCTGAGCCATGTGCTCCCCTTTATATACAGCAATGGCTGCCAGTGCTAAAACCCCTCCCCTCCCCAAAACTTCTCCCCTGATTGGCTGGGAGGGAAGGCAAGGAGCCTCCCAGCAGGCTAGAGGGCTGAAAATTTCCGACTCACTTCCTGAGTCATAACAAAAATGGTGGAGAAAGCTTTGGAAGGGCAAAGGGACTTCCGGGTTCTTAAAATGCTTTGAAATCACTTCAAAAAGGTAATGTTAACAAAATTATTACGAGTAATCTAACGCGGCTCTATCCATGCCTAGTAATAAGAAAGTGTGAAGTATTAGGATTTAGGGGGACTGGCATTCACAAATATTGGACTCTTAGAAATGATACTCTGTCATTCTTTTGTTCATACTATTATCTTTATAAACTCAGTTTCCAGATGACAAATTACTTATTCTGTGAACACTTTCTATACTGAGATAAGACATATGTCTAGTCTAATGCAGAAGGAAAGCACCTTGGAAGACTAACAGATGTGAGGCTGTTGTGCCAGCTTTGTAATGTAGGGAAACACCATAATAAATTGGCAGGTAATTCAGTAGTTCCCAACTTTTTTTTTTATCAGGGACCACTTTGACCAAGGACCACTCTCCAACATTAGTACTAAAAGGGTTACAAATCGGTTTACATAGTTCTTTACTGGACTCGATTTCAATCCCTTTGATCTTCTTAGTTGCTCTCCTTTGGAAATATTCGAGTTTGTCAATATCTTTCTTGAACTCGGGTGCCCAGAAAAAGGCTACTTAATGGTTTAGTTATTGGAAGAATTGGCCACAATATCACTAGTCAAGTGATTCCCAACCTTTTTTGACCAGGGGCCACTCTCCAACATTAGTCCCAAAAGGGTTGCGAATCGGTTTTTGATCAACTTTAGATATGGTTTGGTTATTTGGGGTGCTGATTCTGAAAATTGCATTGAATAGGCCACATCAGCTCTAGTTTCTGATACAGAACATATTGCCATCCAGTAGTCGTCATCTGCTCACTCACAGAAAACAATATTTATTAATGTAGAGCTGATGTGGTCTATCCAATGCAATTTTCTTCAATTTTGTGCAATTTTCTTCAAAAATTCACCAAGATTTTTTCCCCAGTTGGGCTGTGTTATTATCTGTAGTAGTAACAGTGAGGCTACAGACCATATTTTAGTTCTTGCGGACTACTAGTGGTCTATAGACCACAGGTTGGGACCCACTGGGATAATTGAACTGATTCTGGTTGGCCATCTCTTCTAGATGCATAAACCCACAGCTTTTGGGGGACTGCGGGAGATGCCTTTCCTTGAAATCTATTGTGTTCATTCCAGAATCCAGAGCTTATCTCTAATACAATTTCCTTCTCTCTGAATGTTTCTGGATAGATTCAAGTAGCCATTCATGGACACAAAGAAAACAAACTGCATTGTCACATGGTTGTCACTCTTCCAATGTCTCCCAATAGGGACTGTGCTACCCTGGTGCAGTTTCTTCAAAATCAATCCGACTGGTTGGTGAATTGACCTCCCAGCAGCCGTTATATTAAATGCAAAGTTGTCTTTTTTGCTTCCTCCTCTCTATACTCCCATCAGAATAAGATTATTCTCCAACATTAAAATATGACCATTCGAGTGGAATTAACATTTTCTGAGTTCTTCAGGAAAATACTTGCTAGGGACATTATTTCAAAACAGTGCAAAAAGACACAAAAATCTTAATTGGACTATTTGCCCATTTGTTGTCAATCAAGAACTAACTTCAATAAAGCTTACCTGCCTTCTCTCATTAGGAGACATTACTCACCTGCAGAGTTGCAGTTGCTAGGATTTATAGTTCACCTAAAATCAAATAGCATTCTGAACTTCACCAACGATGGAATTGAACCAAACTTGGCACACAGAACTCCCATGACCAACAGAAAATACTGGAAGGGTTTGGTGTTTGGCATTGACCTGGAATTTTGGAGTTGTAGTTCAACTACATCCAGAGTGCAGTGTGGACTCAAACAATGATGGATCTGGGCCAAACTTGGCATGAATACTCAATATGCCCAAATGTGAACACTGGTGGAGTTTGGGGAAAATAGACCTTGACATTTGCGGGCTTAGTTGCTGGGATTTATAGTTCACCTACAATCAAAGAACATTCTGAACCCCACCAATGATAGAATTGGGCCAAACTTCCCACACAGAACCCCCATGACCAATAGAAAATACTGTGTTTTCTGATGGTCTTTGGCAACCCCCCTGACACCCCCTCACGACCCCCCAAGGCAGGCATGTAGCCAGAGGGGAGGCTTGAGGGGCTTCAGCCCCCCCCCCCCGAATCAAAATCCTGGCTACGGGCCTGCCCCAAGGAGTCCCAATCCCCAGGTTGAGAAACGCAGCTCTAGCTAGTAAGGTTGCAGAGCAGTCTTTGGTAAGTGTACCAAAAGGTTCTGAAAACCCAAGTCTGTTGGAGCACCATAGCTGCATGCATGTTGACTGTACTTTGTTTATCTCAATGCTTTATCGAAGTGTAAGAACATGTTCCATCAAGACCCAGTAACTGCATCTTCTCCATCTTTTGACTATTTCCCCTCCTTTTCTTCCACAGGATTTGCTGAAATGAGACCTCACAGTAATTCACCATGAAGTTTGGAGATTCTGGATTCCCAGAAATGTCTAATCTGATTTGGACCTTCTGCTTCATTCAATGAAAGCTTCACCACAGACAGTAAGGAAGCCAACCACAGTCCCAATGTGGCATTTGCTCATCCATATATGTCATTCCAGTCCGACAATCTCAGGAGGGCAAAACTAACTTTAATCTAAAAGGGAAGTCTACCATCTACCATAACTCCAGTAGCAAACAAGAGGGAAGTGCATTTTCTGTTTGCTCTTATTATTGCTAAAAGTTAAATATTCAAGATCCAATTGGAAGGACCTGGTGTGTCCCACAGGGCCTTTTCAAGAAGGCAGCATTCTGTACCCCTTCATTGTGCTAGCCTCAAAAGTTTAGGAGTGAACATTAGTTCTAATCACTTGGAAGGGTTACATCTGGTTTGTAAACACAAGAGAGTTGTGTGTTATGCAACACAGGCAGGACACGTTTGTACCAAAGTACACAAGTGGGATAGTGGGAGGGACTTGTATGTATTTCATCACTCAGGGGACTTCCAAGGTCTTTGTTTAGCATTTCACAGCTCCACCATCACCACTCCCCCCCAAGTCTTTGTGCCATCAAGAACCTGTAAATGTGAATTTGTGACCCCCTTGCTCCATGCTTGTTGCGTCTGTGGTGTCTTGGGCTTGCAATAAAAGTTTACTATGACAAATTCAGTGTACTTCATTATTATTTCACTAAGGTTTCACCATGGAGCCCCTGGTGGCGCAGTGGGTTAAACTGCTGAGCTGCTGAACCTGCTAACCGAAAGGCCGCAGGTTCAAATCCGGGGAGTGGGGTGCTGTTAGCTCCAGCATCTGCCAACCTAGCAGTTCAAAAACATGCAAATGTGAGTAGATCAATAGATACCGCTCTGGCGGGAATGTAATGGCATACTATGCAGTCGTGTTGGCCACATGACCTTGGAGGTGTCTACGGACAATGCCTGCTCTTCGGCTTAAAATGGAGAAGCACACCAACCCCCAGAGTTGGACACAACTGGACTTAATGTCAGGGTAAAACCTTTACCTTTACTTAGGATTTCTATTAGAATCATTTGAGAACAATATACAGGTTTTGGATCATATTAAATTAGGGTTCTCTACCATACCTTACTTTTGTAGAGAAGCAAAGAGAGCATGACTTCAATGAAAGTCATGCAGGCCTTGCTACTCTACAAAAATAAGGTAAATAGAGCCATGTTAAAAAGCTTCCATGGAGTCCCTCTGGGGGAGAGGGTGGGTTATGAATAAAGTCTTATTATATTTCTTATTAGTATTATAGTAGAGAAGCCCTAAGCCAAGATTTTAGGCTGCTATTATATACCCCCCTTCCTGTGAAACAGCCCATTTGAATCCAGTGGGGCTGGATTATATTATGAAGAGTAGTAGATTGTGTTCAGGCCCTGCTGAAATCGGTTTTTTAATAGCATGTTAGTTAAGAGAGATTCCTGGCTACAGTGCCCAGAAGATGGATTACAAGAGCCTGATCTAAGAGGTGACTGTTCCAAACCTGAATTCGATTGTAGCATCAATCCATTTCTTGCAATGTTACAACAGTGTGTCTTGTTTGAGTTTCATATTTACAAGAGGCTTCTGGCTGATTTCACGTTTATCCCCGAGAGAAGTGCAAAACCGCGCATGTCTCCCATTCACAAATGAGAGTTGGTTGTACCTGACAGCCTGAACTTAGAAAGAATTGGTTATGGAATTGAATGCCAAAGTCAGGATTGTCCATGTCTTCCTGTTTTCACTTTCCATGTATGATTGGCCAGTGGAGAAAACTGACAGAAAGAGAATTCACTCATTTGAAATGTGGTACTAGAGAAGCGTTTTGTAGAAACCATGGACTGCCAAAAAAGACAAATAAATAGGAAAATCAGAACTACATTTTCCCCAGAAGCCTAAATGACTAATCTACGACAGTCATACTTTGGAGGCAGGAGCCCAAAGTACAACAGGAGTCATTAGAAGAGGCAATAGGAAAAGATGCACACTGCATTACAGTAGATAGATATTCAAGAGCTGACCATGGTTGTGAACTGGGAGGCATCTCATTCACAAGGCTGATGCAAACTGGACTTGATAATGATCATTAACAACTATTCCCCTTTTATTTAGCTCTGTTATTACTAAATAGTAGGAGAGGAGCAGCTCAGATTGGGATTTCAGATTTTTTTTAAAGAAACTGCAAAAACTGCAGATTGCGTGCTGAGATTAATTGAAAGCAGCAACCAATAATACAGTATTGGTGCTCCGCTAGATGTTTTGGACTTTTGTTGTTGTTTATTCATTCAGTTGCTTCGAACTCTTTGTGACCTCATGAACCAGCCCATGCCAGAGCTCCCTGTCGACCATCACCACCCCCAGCTCCTTCAGAGTCAAGCTAGACACTTCAAGGATCCCATTCATCCATCTTGCTCTTGGTCGTCCCCTTTTCCTTTTTCCTTCCGTTTTCCCTAGCATCATTGTTTTATCTAAACTTTCCTGTCTTCTCAGTATGTGGCCAAAGTACTTATGTTTAATGAGCAGTCGGGCTTTATTTCCTGAAGTATGGACTGGTTGGATCTTTTCGCAGTCCAAGTCACTCTCAGAACTTTCCTCCAACACCACAACTCCCACAATTCCTAACAGCTGGTAAAATGGCTGGGATTTCTGGGAGCTGGTACAAAACATCTGGAGGAGCAGTTTGAGAAACTATTTATTTATGACATTTATATGTCATCCTTCTCACCCCGAAGGGGACTCAGAGCGACTTATAAGATACTAGCTGTGCCCTGCCACGCGTTGCTGTGGCCTATAGTAAAACTTATCAAAGTTGAGGTAGATATCTGGACTATTATGAAAGAGAGGTCCGTACCTATTCCTTCCCCCTTTTCCTCCCCCTTTCTCTCCTTTCTTCCTTCTCTACCTCTTTCTTTCCTTCTTTCACTACTTGGTTTCATCCTTCTCTCTTTCCTTCATTCCCTCCCCCTTTCTTCCTTTGCCTTTCTTCCCTCCCTGTTTGCTTCCTTCTTTCTCTTTTTATTTCCTTTTATTTTACCACCATCATAACAATAACAATAATGCAATGCATTGCCTCTGGGACCTGACACCTCTCCCATTCCTCCAGGGTCTCATAGGAACAATAGCATAATAATAATAATAATAATAATAGAAATAACAACCTTTACCCGCCACGTGTTGCTGTGGCCAATCTTCCCTCTTTCTCTCCTTCTTTCCCTCCTCCTTCCTTCCTTCCCTCCCATCTTTCCTTCTCCTCTTCTTTCTCTATCTCTTTCCTTCCTTCCCCCTTTTTCTTTCTTTTCTGCTGTCTCTCTTTTCTTTCCTTCCATCTTTCCTTTTCTTTCCTTTTCTTCTTCCTTCTTTCTCTAACTTTCCTTCCTTCCCCCTTTTCTTTACCTCCCTTTCTCTTTCTTCCTTCTTTCCTTCCTTCCTGTCTTTCCTAGATTTTGACAGGGCGGGAAGGGGCGGGGTGGGGTTTGGAGGTGGCGTGAAGTAAAAGGAGGTAAGATTGGGGCAGGGGAGTGCTGGAGCGTGGGGTTGTGTGTGTGTGCGGCGGCGGGGGGAGTGATGGAGCGTGGGGTTGCGTGTGTGTGTGTGGCAGCGGGGGGAGTGATGGAGCGTGGGGTTGCGTGTGTGTGTGCGGCGGCGGGGGGAGTGGTGGAGCGTGGGGGTGCGTGGGTGGGGGAGTGATGGAGCGTGGGGTTGCGTGTGTGTGTGCGGCGGCGGGGGGAGTGGGGTTGCGTGTGTGCGTGCGGCAGCGGGGAAGTGATGGAGTGTGGGGTTGCGTGTGTGTGTGCGGCGGCGGGGGGAGTGATGGAGTGTGGGGTTGTGTGTGTATGTGCGGCAGGGGTGTGTGTGTGTGCGGGAAGCGGCGCGGCGGGGCTTGGAGTGGGCATGGTTTCCGCAGAGGGAACGTTGGCCGGAAGGGCATGTGCGCGCGCCAGGGAACTTGCGGCTGGGCGCCAATGCGCATGCTCAGTTGTTTTGCCGTTTTGTGAGTGTGTTGTTGTGTTGTTTTTCATTTAGAGTAGATACGTTTGTACCTTGTGGGTTGTGTTATGGGCATGGGAATTTTGGTTAAGTTTCGTTGGGGTTTTTTTGAGTTTTGTTTTTTTGCCGTTTTGAGTGTGTTGTTGTGTTGTTTTTCATTTTGAGTAATATGTTTGTACCTTGTGGGTTGTGTTATGAGCATGGGAATTTTGGTTAAGTTTCGTTGGGGTTTTTTGAGTTTTATTCTTTTGCCGTTTTGTGAGTGTGTTGTTGTGTTGTTTTTCATTTTGAGTAGATATGTTTGTACCTTGTGGGTTGTGTTATGGGCATGGGAATTTTAGTTAAGTTTCGTTGGGGGTTTTGAGTTTTGTTGTTTTGCCGTTTTGTGAGTGTGTTGTTGTGTTGTTTTTCATTTTGAGTAGATATGTTTGTACCTTGTGGGTTGTGTTATGGGCATGGGAATTTTGGTTAAGTTTCGTTGGGGTTTTTTTGAGTTTTGTTGTTTTGCCGTTTTGTGAATGTGTTGTTGTGTTGTTTTTCATTTTGAGTAGATATGTTTGTACCTTGTGGGTTGTGTTATGGGCATGGGAATTTTGGTTAAGTTTCGTTGGGGTTTTTTGAGTTTTGTTCCTCGTTGGATGCCCCTAAAAAATTTATATATATAGATATATACATACAATATATTATATTAGCATAGTACAATATCAGTATTATATATTACTATATTGTACTATACCATTATATTGTAATATTATTAGTAATATTACATGTAATATAAATATATAATATATTATTATATTGTATTACATTATATTATATATATACACACACACACACACACACACACACACACACAATATATTATATTATATTACATTACATTATATTATTAGAATAGCACAGGAGACAAGGTGGAACTGTCTTCTTCCGCCCTCTCTTCATTCTGGCCCAGAGCAGCAGTTGGTGCAGGGGGAGTGGTCCCATTGCACTAATATATACCGATGTTTTTACCCATGCAGACAGGGGCTTTATACAACCAAGGTCTGATGTGCCTGTGCTACTTAGTTGAAATTATTTACCAAACCACTTGATTCCCTTGTTTGTAGGACAAAAGAGCATTGTTTCTCACATCTCAAGTTGTTTGTAAATACAGTTTAGAGAAGTCAAATCAAATAAGGGTTGTAAATACTGTTTAGAGAAATCAAATCAAAGAAGGGTTGTAAATACTGTTTAGAGAAGTCAAATGAAAGAAGTGTTGCTCAATGATTCAACACACCCTTTGTGTGCCAGAAATTTCCAAGTTCAATCCTTGGCAGCTCTAGCAGACAGAAAACAAAAGTTGTAAAATATGAAACCATGACTGGAAGATTAAGTAGATCTTTAATTCAGCTTTGTAATAAAGGTTTTACAAATTAGATGAAAATGACCACAGAAATAACCTAGAGAAGGCACTGGTGTGAGTGGAAGGCATAGAGATCATAGCTGCTTTTTCATTCTATAAAAATTACAATTACAAATCTCCTAGCCTTTGTGTCCGAATACTATCTGAGGCAATGGATGCAGAGTTACCCGCACTGCCCAGAGTACTCCACAATCCTCCCCAAGAGCCTGCCATTCCTGATAAACTTATAGCTAGTTCATACCTTACATTCTGGTAATTATGTCTCCCATGTACAAGTATTCTCACACAGAGATTATTAGTTATCTCAGCAACACCCTAAACAATTATAGCAACCAAATCCGTGCATTTACTAATCAAGACAGTTCAGATAGTGGCTCTTAACATTTATTCCTCATTCAATTGCACTGTTGGTTATTGATCATGTTGCTTTGATGTCCTGGTATTCTTCTGAGCTCTAAAAGCTTAGAGTTTAGAAGCTGCAGGGACTGGTCCCAGCCATTTCTCTCCTACAAAAGAAATTGGTGTCAAGAGTGTGAACTAAATTCAAAAGACAAAAACAGCCTTAGCAAGTGATTACTTAAATACACACATTGCATTAAAAGGAATACACTTCTGGGAGGAATGGTGGCATGCTAGTTGTCTCCTGCAAATGCTCTGCTGCAGGTGAGATGGTCCACACACTGACCACCAGCCACAGTAATGGGGGACCAGCAAAACTGCTCCCTGGGATAAAGGGGGACCGGGGAATTACTGACAAATCCCCCTGCCCTCAGTGAACATGTCACCACTTCAGTGGCAAATGAGTGTGAGTGAAAGGGAAACTAAAGACACCTTTGTGCCCCACTATGGGAGAGAACTGCCTACAAAAGGCAAAAACTGCTGGAAACCTCTTTCTTCAAGCAAACTTAAAGAGAGCCTTCCTGAACATGATAGTAAGATCTACTGACAAAGTATTAAAAATCCAAAACAGAGAAAGGGACGGGAAGTTCCAAACTTCAGTATGTAGTTTGCTGCTTGCTGTTTTGATTTGATTGAAAGATTGTGTAACGTGATTTTTGTCTTTGGGTTATAAATGTCATTTCCTAATTGGTTCTGTCATAAAAACACGGAAAAGGTTGATTAAACTGCAAAATCTTTATTTTTATGGGACATCCTGCAGCACATTTTGCTATAGTTTTTCAATGAATATCTTACAGTCTCAACCAATTCAACATAATTTCCGGCAGCCACAAAAACAACGTTTCTGGAGTATAAGAAGTACTTTCAAAGTAAGTACCACACAATTAAATAAGAAATAACACTTTCAAACCAGGAAAAGATTTTTTTTTTCAAATTATGTTACATAGTGACACTGATATGATCAGAGGTTTGAGTGGTATGGATATTTATGGTATGATAAAACCAAAGTGAACACTAAATTTAATCACCATTTTTGAGCTCTATCTTTTAAAGAATATGGAATAGATACAAACCAAAGTTATGCCCTGATGTAACTATGAGTGTCAACACAAGAAGGTAACAACAGCAAAAGGAAAATAGTTCATTTACCAAAACCTTTTGGAACATCACCAAGCTCAATACCAAATTAATTCAAGTAAAGAATTATTGATAGATGGCCATAGTTTTAATGGCATTCTGATAGATAAATGAAATATTTTAAATGGCTGATAAAAGGGCACAGCAAGTTAACCGCCAGCTGCAGTAAATCTTGCCAACCAAAAGGTTGACAGTTTGAAGTATGGGTCAGGATGAGCTCCTGGCCTTTAGCCCAGCTTCTGCTATTTTGAAAACAGCAATGTGAGTAGATAAATAGGTACCGCTTAAGCAGGGAAGTACTTAAGACACCCAAAAGGAAATGCCAGAAAAATGCCGGCAACTCGACCAAGGAGGAAGTTTACGAACAAAGCTCTTCGGCAGGGAAAGTGGAGCAAAAGCACCACTTCATATGACAGAATGAATTATGCAAAAACTGACATTTTGTACAGATTATCTTGGTGCAGGATTTTGAGTGGATGTAGGATTTCTTTCTTTTTTAGTACTGTGCATCTATAGCACTGGGTGTGTTCCTCTGAGGGACTATTAAGAGTATGTTTGGGGTACTCTGAATTCCATTTTGGGAGAAAGATGAGATACAAATTCAATAAATAAATAAATAAGGGCAAGAATTAAGAGAGACATTAAAAGACCAAGAATTTAATAAAGTTTGATAAAATTCCTACATGATGGAAATGCGGAGATATATTTAAAATGATCCAAAATTCACCCATGACAATCTGTTCTCAATTAGGGGTCCCTAGGTAGGAAACAAGGAGCAGAGTAATTTGTTTGTGTGTCTGTGTAAGTATTTGCAAGTGGCCTAAACCTTCCTCGTTAGCTCATACAGTGGCTCTCAACCTGTCGTCTCCAGGTGTTTTGGTCTACAACTCCCAGAAATCCCAGTTTACCAGCTCTTAGGATATCTAGGAGTCAAAGTCCAAAACATCTGGGGACCCACAGGTTGAGAACCACTGACTTAGGACCTGACAGACTGTTAACAGATAAGTGACAGTAGCATGAGGAACACTTACCCAAGAGACTTCCCAGTAATTCTAAACGATCTGAACCAAATATAAGCTGGGGCTTGTTGTTAACATAGATAACAGAACATGGCAGACCGAATGCCTAAATTGGGAGACAAGAGAAAGATGGGCTTCATCAGGCAGTTTGGTGTACATTGGGCATGAAATGGGATATTTTCAAATTTGCAAAATTTCTTCCATATTTAGTTGCTGCACATATAAATTGTATTTGCCTTCATTTTAAAATTATTATTATTATTATTATTATTATTATTATTATTATTATTATTTACAGCTTTTTTATTCCACCCTTCTCACCCCGCAGGGGACTCAGGGCGGATTACAGTGTACACATATATGGCAAACATTCAATGCCAATTTTGACATACAAACATATACAGACATACACAGAGGCTATTTAACTTTTTTCTGGCCGCCAGGGGAGCTGTCGCTTTCATCGTCCATCTGCGACGCTAATGAAGTACTTCCTCATTCCCCACATGCTACCCCGCTGGAATGCTTTGCTGGAGTCTTCTTTATGGCCTCATAAATCAGTTAATTTAGCCTCCCCACACTTTAAGGTGGTACCTAATTTTTCTACTTGACAGATGCAACTGTCTTTCGGGTTGCAAAGGTCGACAACAGGCTACACACAATTGGTTGGAAACCCACTCCAACCCGGGCTGGCTTCGAACTCATGACCTTTTGGTCAGAGTGATCTTAATGCAGCTGACACTCAGCCAGCTGCACCACAATCCCAGAATATGAAAGTGTTTTTTTTTTTCTTTTTAGTTAAATGAACTCTGTGCTTTAAAAAAAATGTAGCCCCTTAAAGCCTAGATATGGAAATCATTCACTAGTATAAGTATACCTCAATTTAGTTTTCTGCAATACTTATTCAGATGAACCAAAGTAAATAGACTAAGAGAAACAGAGCCAGGGGGCTTCAAAATTGGTGTTCCTGGTACAAAGCTCCTGCAACTGAAAAATGTTCATTAGCTTACGAACTGTCTCGAACAGCGCTCAAACTAGATCTACACTGTGATATAATCCAGATTATCAAATAATCCAGATTATCATCTTTGAACTGAATTATGAGTCTACACTGCCATATAATCCAGTTCAAAGCAGATTATCTGGATTTTATATAGCAGTGTAAAAGGAGCCTCGGTAATTGCTGTTATAGTTGGTATACCATATTAGTATAATTCTGAAGCCCCTTCTACACTTCCATATAAAATCCAGATTATCTGCTTTGAACTGGATTATCTGGCAGTGTAGACTCATATAATCCAGTTCAAATCAGATAATGTGGATTTTCAAAGGAATGGACACTATTTACATGTTCTGCAAAAAATATAAAATGCTGCATAATCACTAATGTCTACCAGTATGTGTATGAAAACTTGTTCTGTGATTGGAAAAGATAGGACAGGCAAGCCAGGTATTTACCTAATTTCATCCCCTGATGTATCCCTTTTTTCATGAATGCTCTAACTGTGGGATAAATAAGGTTGAACACTGTGAAAGCCATCTACTGCATGGCTATCAGCTTCCTCCCAATAGACTCAAATCAAGGAAAAGCTTCATGAGAACCACCACGCCTCTTAATGTTTTCCCAGCAAAAAGCAAGAGCCTCCCTTTGGGCAGCTAAACCAGGAAATCCCAATTGGATGGCCTCCATGAGAGTCTGCCTCCAGAGGCAAATCACGAATGGGCAACTAGGAAGTCCCTGAACAGATTCAGATATGGAGTGGGCAGAGCAAGGACAACCTCGCAAAATGGCACTACCTAAAAGAATCCTCATCTTGTGTGACTGTGGAACAGAACAGACAACTCCGCATCTGTATGCTTGTCTACTATGCTGCCTCATGTACAGAGAAAGAATTGTTCAAAGCTACAGGCAATGCAATCGCGGTTGCCTGTTTTTGGTCAAAAAATATTTAGCCGCTTCTGCTCCATCTATTTTTATCAATTTTCTACTTATTTATGCAATGATTTTGATACGATTTTAAAAAAATGAATACTCTCATGTAACCAGTGAGAAAACTGCTTGCAATATATTATTCCAGCCCGCTGTGACCAACCCGGCGGATAAACAAGTAGAAGCCTGTTGTATCTGGGATTAAAATACACTACAAGACTCTAGATTTTGTTCACTGGAAAAATTAGATGCTGACAAGGATTTTAACAGGGTGGCTACTTGCACCTTTGATTCCCCACATTACATTCCTCAAAAGGGGCTGTGTTCACAAAGTTTTGGCTTGAAGTAATGCTTGTGTCTCACCCCATGTTGTAGGACTTCATCTGTTGTTGCTTTCAGACGATTCTTCACTTCAGGTGAGTTGCCCATTTCCAGAAGCTTCTTGCATTCATCTGAAGATAATCCCGCTTTCCCTGCAGCCTGGGAAGAAAGAAAAAATTGAAGTCCAAAACACCTGGAGGACCAAAGTTTGGCCCATGATTGATATATACTCATGTATAAGTTGACCTCATGTGTTAAGTCAGAGCAGGCTTTGAAGCCAAAAATAAGTATTTTGATATGATCCCTGGAAAAGTTGGAGATCACTCCATGGAAAGGAAAAAGCACAATCTAATTATTATTATTATTATTATTATTATTATTATTATTATTTGTTGTTGTTGTTGTTGTTGTTGTTGTTGTTGTTGTTGTTGTTGTTATTTGTATCCCACCCCATCTCCCCGAGGGGAATTAGAGCAGTTCACAACAGTGTAACAGTGCAAACAATAAACAGTAAGAAAACTGACAATCAATTTAACATTAGATCAGCCAAAAATAACAATACCAAATTAATATGGAAGTAAAATAAAACATATTAAATTGACACTAAAACCATCACAAATAAGGTGTGATTATGTTATATAAAAGCAATTAAAATACACACACATATAAGCTTTGGATAGCATAGGAAAGTGTTAATGTGGTGTTTGTTTTGCTGTCTGTGCCCTGTTTGGACTTTCTGTCCTTGTGATAATTGGATTTTGAAAAAAAAAATGGTTGTCTGAATTTTGGCCTGCTGACAACATATATCACAAGCTCAAAGCAGCCACACTATGGAGAGAGAGCAAGAGAAAAAGGTAAGAAACTTACTGCCAAAATATTTTCTGGCTGGGTAATATCTTCATCCTGGAGGGATAAAGAGTAACAAAACTGGTTACAAATGTTCTGGGACAAGAGGCCAACTATGCAAAGAATTCAAATGTCAAAGTAACTATCTAAATTAATTAGCAAGTAAGAAAAATTACCCTAAAGAAAACTGATAGGCATGGATGATGCCATTTAATTTTCCTCCATGGAAGTGGAAGCCAAATACACACATTTTCTTGACTTAATCTCTTGATGTAGTAACTACACAGAAATGAAGAGAAGCAGCCTGAAACTGTAGATTTCTATGAGGAGGGTCTCTACATTTTAATGTCAAAATGACTTCTACTTATTTACTTTTACCAAGGTCAGACCTCGACATTTTGTAATCAACAAAGCTGAACAAAGCCCATCGAGCTCTGCTCACTGTCTACAACAAACTGATTTTGCATTTTGACAAAAGGAGGAACAATATAGGCGGTTTTATTGAATCCTCCAATGAATTCCATTCAATGGGATATTTCGCATAATTGATTGATTGTTGTGCAAACCTAGCCCAAGTAAATTCAATTCACCCCTCTCCCCCAGCATTCAAAAGAAATAATTATATAGGGAACGAAACAAGCGATTTTGTGAACATGGATACTTACCCGGGACCAAATGCGCATCCAAAGTTCTCTAGACACAGCCTCTACAAACTGAGGTTGTGTTAAATCCACAGCTGTGACAAAACGCATAGCGGATAGACTGCCTATATTTGCGGAAAACAGATAAGAGCATCAGAGTTTGCATAAATGTCAACAGAAAAAGAACCCTATTGCTACAAAAAAAAAGGAGGGGAGATGCTGACTACCCACGAAAGATTACTACTACCACATCAGCTTTAGATTATTAAATATGGTTTTCTGTGGGTGAGGAGATGGCAACTACTGGATGGCATATGTGCTGCATCAGAAACTAGAGCTGATGTGGCCTATCCAATGCAGTTTTCTGAATCAGCACCCTGAATAACCAAATCAAATCTAAAGTTGATCAAAAACCAATTCGCAACCCTTTTGGGATTAATGTTGGAGAGTAGCCCCTGGTCAAGTGATTCCCCTGGTCAAAAAAGGTTGGGAATCACTTGACTAGTGATATTGTGGCCAATTCTTCCAATAACTAAACCATTAAGTAGCCTTTTTCTGGGCACCCAAGTTCAAGACAGATATTGACTAGGCCTGGGTAACAACGGAAAAATTTGTTTCTAAAATCGATTTGTATTTGGGGGGTTTTTTTGTTTCGATATTTAAAATAATTACAAAATTTTCCTTTTAAAAAGTTCGATATTTACGAAATTTCGTAAATGGTAAAAAATTAACGAATCGATTTCCGAAACAATAACGAATCGATTCGTTAATGGCGGACGCGACCGCGAAATACGCTAAAAAACCTCCAAAACCTTCTGAAGCTTCCCTCTCCCTCTGTTGTTGACTGTTGGTGTGATATTATAATTTTTTTTCACTAATTAAACCATAAAACTGGCCCAGACATGCGGAAATAATAACGAAACGATCTCAAAACAATAACGAAACGAATACAATATCGAAATACGAAGCATTTACAAAACGTTTTTGAAAATTCGTTTTTTTTAATAATTGCTCCAGAATGGTTCGTTATCGTTTTGTAATTGAAAAAATTAACGAATTATTTACGAATTACGAATTAACGAAACGAAACCGCCCAGCCCTAATATTGACAAGCTCAAATATTTCCAAAGGAGGGCAACTAAGAAGATCAAAGGGATTGAAATCGAGTCCAGTAAAGAACTATGTAAATGCTAGGTACATTTTCCTTTGATAGGTGAATACTGAGAACCATATTTGCATATCTGAATGTAATATAGAAGATGAAGTGAATTTGTTTTCTACTACTCTAGAAATTAGCTTTCACTGAAACATTAGGAAGACCTAATTCCTTTACTGTAAGACAGTGGAATAGACTGTTCATGGGGTGGTGAACTCACCTCCTTTGGAGGTTTTGAAACAGGAGTGTTTTCATGGCGTGTTCCTTCATGGCAGGTGTTTGGACTACAGGTCCCTTCTAGCTACTTCTAACTGCAATTTGATGACTCTTTTCTTACCTTTCTCAATAACAGTCCCTACGAAATCCTTGGGAAGTTGCAATGGCACCTGGCAGAACTTTGCCATCCGACTAAGATCCTTCGTCATGTATCTCCCTCTGTTTGGAAGCAATGCCGGGGGCTTGTTACCTGTTAAAAAGGGGTGGGATCTTTATAGAAGAAGAATATTTCAGACACAGACAAACATTACATGTCATTATCTTTCATTCCTTCACATGCCGCATTATCACGGGGTGTCTGCGCCCTACACCACTGGAGAAATTACACTGCTTAGCCGGTATTGCACCACCTGACATCCACCGGGAAGTAGCAGCCAATAGTGAAAGGACCAAGGCAGAGACATCTCCAGCTCATCCCCTGTTTGGGTATCATCCAGCACGTCAACGACTTAAATCAAGAAATAGTTTTCTTAGATCTACAGAGACACTCGCTGGAACACCTCAGCAAGCAAGAGTCCAAAAGTGGCAGGCTCAAACCCAGCACCTCAATCCGTGGGTGATACTAAATGAGAGACTCCCCCCTGGGCACACAGAGGACTGGGCGACTTGGAAGGCGCTGAACAGACTGCGCTCTGGCACCACGAGATGCCGAGCCAACCTTCAGAAATGGGGCTACAAATGGAATCCTCGACATGCGAGTGTGGAGAAGAGCAAACCACTGACCACCTGCTGCAATGCAACCTGAGCCCTGCCACATGCACAATGGAGGACCTTCTTGCAGCAACACCAGAAGCACTCCAAGTGGCCACATACTGGTCAAAGGACATTTAATCAACTACCAAACTCACAAATTTTGTATTTTGTCTGTTTGTTTTTGTTGCTTTGTTCTGTTAGAAATGTAATATAATCGACTGGTTGCACTGACACGATAAATAAATAAATAAATTCCTTCACTGAGGCAAGGAGATTCATCATCTTCAGAATAACCAGATAGAGAAAGTGAGCACCAAAATTATAACTATACCTCCCAACAACCATCTATGACTATTTGTAATCATTTTTTTTCTTTTTGCTTTAGGAAAGAATTTCGCAACAACATTTAGCAGTACATGCTCTTTGATTGCAGGACTCCTTTAAAATGTGCTAATAATATAATATAATATAATATAATATAATATAATATATTGTATTGTATTGTATTGTATTGTATATACATATAACATTGATAATATTATAATGTAATGCAATATAATACTATTAATAATAATGCGATATTATATATTTTATATTACATGTAATATTACTAATAATATTACAGTATAATGGTATAGTACAATATAGTAATATATAATATTAATATTGTGCTATCGTAATAATATAATATATTGTATTTACATATTACTTGTAAGCCGCTCTGAGTCCCCTTTGGGGTGAGAAGGGCATATAACTGTCATAAATAAATAAATAAATGGAAGATTATTCTTTATAGTACAGTCCAGTTAACTGAGAAAAAACATTCCTTGGTATTACCATATATACTCGAGTACAAGCCGACCCAAATATAAGCCGAGGCACCTAATTTTACCACAAAAAACTGGGAAATGTATTGGCTCAAGTATAAACCGAGGGTGGGAAATACAGCAGCTACTGGTAAATTTCAAAATAAAAATAGATACCAATAAAATTACATTAATTGAGGCATCAGTAGGTTAAATGTTTTTGAATATTTACATAAAACTGTAATTTAAGATGATACTGTCCAGATCTGATTAAACCATTATTCTAACCTTCTTCAATGTAAATGTGCTTACATAACCTTCCAATAATAGTAAAGGTAGTAAAATAATAAATGTAATAATAATTATAATAGAGTAACAAATGTAACAACAACAACAACAGAGTAAAATAATAAGTAACCTCGAGTATAAGGCATGGGGGGCTTTTTCAGCCAAAAACAACAACAAAACAAACAGAAAAACTCAGCTTATACTTAAGCATGTAGCATGCACAAGCAGAAATGCCTTTATTGGGCTATGTCCAAAGCATAAAATACAATGTGGCTACTTCAATAGGGAAAGATGTTAAAAATCATGCAAGATAAAAAAGTGAAGATATCAGAGTATTAGTGCCAAAGGATTATTGAAAATAAGAAAGAAAAAGGCAAATCGAAACAGAAAGAAATATCATTTTAAGAAGAGGGATTCATCAATTAAACTTACCAAACAGAGAAAACATCCAAGAAATTAGATAAGAACATACTGTCCAGTAGCAGATCTTGTCTGCAGATTAATTTGATTAAACAATTTAGCAACCTACCACTCTCTTTCATTATGCCGGCAAGGAAAGCAGGCCGTAAGCGTAGCTCAATATTCCAGATATTACGGTATCGGCAGAGAATCTACAGGGTGAGAAAAATAATTCATGTAGAGACAAATCTGGAGCTAACAGCCATGACAGTTGTTCAAACAATATTAATGGACTGCAACATCAAATAAAAATCTTACAACAGATATAATACTACTAATAATAATAATAATAATAATAATAATAATAATAATCTTTATTTATACCCCACCACCATCTCCCCAAGGGGGCTCAGAGCAGCCTACATGAGGCCAAGCCCAGCAGTACAACAATGCAAATATACAACATGAAAATACAACAATAAAATATAAGAAAATAAGATAAAATACAAGAAACAGTATAAATAAACACATCAGAACAATATAAAATCACAATATTTGAACACAGAAAGTTGATCACAGTGGGCATGCCGGTTGCAGAGATTTAAAGATTAAAAACACTGGATGAGAGAGCAACGTAATGTATCTGGGCAGGGGATAGTTTATGAAAAACCAAGGGACTGTTCCATAGAAACTGATAAAGAATGTAAAGCATACTGTGAAGTGATTTCAGGTGAGTCTATGGCTTGTTCTACACTACCATATAATCCAGATTATCAAAGCAGATAATCCAGATTATCTGATTTGAACTGTATTATATGAATCTATGTTGCTATATAATCCAGTTCAAAACAGATAATCTGGATTTTATATGGCAGTGTAGAAGGGGCCTATGATAAAGCAATCTAAAGCCAACAATCAGAAGTACAGATACAAAAGACTTCTAGACTACTAAACATCAATCTGCCTTTCCATTTTAGGCTGAATTTACACTGCCATATAATCCAGTTTCCTAATCCAGATTATCTGCTTTGAACTGGATTATATGAGTCTACACTGTCATATCAACCAGTTCAAAGCAGATTGTCCAGATTCAGAAATTGGATGATAATGTTAGCATAGATGGAGCCTCAGCTACAGAGGAGTCTGGTCATGGATGGGAAAGTTACACGGCAGTGGTTCTCAAAACATCTTGGGACCCACAGGTTGAGAACCATTGGGTTAGAGTTACACCAAGCCCTGCAAAACAGTGCTAGATTTAAAACAACACAAATGCAACCCCATCATGGATGGGTCACATACATTCATTTAAATTGAAGGGTAATCCTGAGCATGTTTTCTATAATTTATCATGCACTCTAGAGCAGGGTCTCACACCCCTTTCCCCTCATGGCCCGAGGTATATAGGTACATAAAATAGGCATAAAATGAAACATCTACTGAAAAGAAAACAGCATTTGCAAGGCTTGCTAAACAGGTGCTCCTTTTTATCAAGCACAGCTGAAGCATTTTCTGCAGAGTCCACCAGAACCACTGCAGGTTGTTAACAGATTTGTGTAAATGTCTAAAATAGTCACCAGATGGCGTTCAGAACATGTTTACTTTTGCCAAACTTTTTGAGACTCCAACACTGAGTTAATCCAGTGTTTCTCAATCTTCCTAATGCCTTGACCCCTTAATACAGTTCCTCGTGTTGTGGTGACCCCAAACATAAAATTATTTTTGTTGCCACTTCATAACTGTAATTTTGCTACTGTTGTGAATCGTAATGTAAATAACTGATATGTGAATTGTAATGTAAATATCTGGTATGCAGGATGTATTTTCATTCACTGGACCAAATTTGGCACAGATACCCACTTCGTCCAAATTTGAATACCGGTGGGGTGGGGGAGGGATTGATTTTGTCATTTAGGACTCGTAGTTGCTGGGATTTATAGTTCATCTACACTCAAAGAACATTCTGAACTCCACCAATGATGGAATTGAACCAAATTTGGCACACAGAACTACCATAATCAACAGAAAATACCGGAAGGATTTGGTAGGCATTGACCTTGAGTTTTGGAGTTGTAGTTCACCTACATCCAGAGAGCACTGTAGACTCAAATAAAGATGGATCTGGACCAAACTTGGCACAAATACTCAATATGCCCAAATACTGGTGGAGTTTTGGGAAAATAGACCTTGAAATTTGGGGATTGTAGTTGCTGGAATTTATAGTACACCTACAATCAAAAAGCTTTCTGAACCCCACCACCAAAAGAATTGGGACAAAACTTCCGACACAAAACCCCACGACCAACTGAAAATACTGTTTTCTGATGGTCTTTGGCAACCCCTCTGACACCCCCTCGTGGGTTTGGTTCCATGTGGCCCCATGGAGATACCCAGATATGTGGATTTGGTAAAGCCCCATTATGTATTATATATGTCCTTTGTATAAAAGAGCAAAATAATGAGTGACACCAGCCATGGGAAAGCTTCGGCCGTCCAGGTGTTTTGAACTTCAACGGCCTACTGTTAGGAATTGTGGGAATTGAAGTCCAAAACACCTGAAGAGCCAAAGTTTGCCCATGGCTGAGTTACATATTTAAAAACATAAGTAATAATGTTGTTGTGTAGTCCCCAAACAGCTCAGCATAACATTAGCCTTGCTTTCTTACACTTCTACTATCTGTACTAGAAACTAGCTGTGGTGGAAGTATTTTTTTTAAAAAGGTAAGTGTTGCAACATTTCCAGCAACAAGAGTAAATGGGGCAAAGTTCAGACCAAAGGTGCCAGAAAAGGAAGACAACACCACCCTCCCCCAAGGATGTGGAAAAACTGCCAGCAATCTGGATTAGTTCCACTCCTTTTTAGTGCACAACTGCTATCCCTTGCTCTCTTATTGTTTCAGGATGGAGAAATATGTAAACCTCAAAAGCTAAGGGCCCTTCCACACAGCCCTATATCCCTTTCCAGGATATCAAGGCTGAAAATCCCACAATATCTGCTTTGAACTGGGTTATCAGAGTCCACACTCAGATACTGTGGGGAAATGATTCCGGCCCAGCTTACCTGTCTGAATGTATCTCCTCCTATGAACCATGAAGGAGCTTAAGATCGTCTGGGGAGGCACTGCTCTCGATCCCACCTGCCTCGCAAGTGTGACTGGCAGAGATGAAGGACAGGGCCTTCTCAGTGGTGCCCCCCGGCTATGGAATTCCCTCCCCAGGGATATTAGATTGCCCCCTCCCTTCTGACTTCCCCCAAAAAAGTAAAGACCTGGCTCTTTAAGCAAGCTTTTGAGAATGCAGCGGATAACACAGAACTATGAATGATGAACATGGAATGGCCAGGCGATGTTACTGGATAACGCTTTTAACAGGATGACACCGATGATTATATGCTTTAACGGTTTTTATTTATGTTTTATATTATAATGTTAATTGTTTTAATGGCACTTTTATGAATGCCTAACATCGAATTGTGCCCATCTGTAACCTGCCTTAAGTCGCCATAAGGCTGAGAAAGGTGAGGTATAAATATCGTAAATAAATAAATACATACATTTTCTGTCTTGATATCCTGGTATATAGGGCTGTGTGGAAGGGCCCTAAAACAGAGGTTCCCTCTGTGGAAATAAACACTGAAAGGTCCATGTATTGCGAAAAGGCTGCCTGCCGGATATTACATGAATGAACACTGTACTGTATCTGCCCTGATTCGATGTGAAGGAATCATGGGAGTTGTAGTTTTACGAGGCCTTTGTCAAAGAGCACTGATGCCTCTGCAAACTATGGGCCCTTCCACACAGCCCTATATCCCAGGATATCAAGGCAGACAATCCCACATTATCTGAGCGTGGACTTAGATAACCCAGTTCAAAGCAGATATTGTGGGATTTTCTGCCTTGATATCTTGGGATATAGAGTTGTGTGGAAGGGCCCTACAACTCCGACAATTCTATAGCACTGGGCCCATGGTAGTGAACATGGCATCAAACTGCATGTATAGATGCATCCTGTGACAGCTGGTTCTATTGCATTTCCACGCCTAGAAGTCAGGGGAAGTTACTTCAAATGGTCCAACGAGCGGCAGCCAGGTTGCTAACGGGAGCAGCGCTCAGGGGGCACACAACTCCTCTGTTGCGCCAGCTCCACTGGCTGCCAATCTGCTTCCAGGCACAATTCAAAGTGCTGGCTTTAGCCTATAAAGCCCTAAACCAGTGGTTCTCAACCTGGGGTCCCCAGATGTTTTTGGCCTACACCTCCCAGAAATCCCAGCTAGTTTACCAGCTGTTAGGATTTATGGGAGTTGTAGGCCAAAAACATCTGGGGACCCCAGGTTGAGAACAACTGCCCTAAACGGTTCTGGCCCAATTTACCTGTCCGAACGCATCTCCCCTTATGAACCTGCTAGGACTTTAAGATCGTCTGGGGAGGCCCTGCTCTTGATCCCGCCTGCATCACAAATACATTTGGCGGGGATGAGAGGCAGGGTCTTCTCAGTGGTGGTCCCTCAGCTATGGGGACATTAGATCGCCCCCCCCCCCTTAACATTCCAGAAATGAGTCAAGACCTGGCTGTTCGAGCAAGAGTTTGAAAATGCAATGTAAAAGACATAGGAACTTGGAATGACTAGACAACATGGATAATGTTTTTAATTAGGAGACACAAATGACTTAGGTTTTTATTACTTTTGTTGGGTTTTATACTATGTATTAACGTTTTGAATGTTTTATGATGTTCTTGGGCATCAAGTTGTTGCCTTGTAAACTGCCCCGAGTCACCTGATGGCTGAGAAGGGTGGTATACAAATACAGTAAATAAATAAATACTTCTGAGAATTTTAAGATTGAATATGGCCCAATCTGCACTATATTGTCAGTGTATGGAACTGCATTATATGGTCAGTGTAAACTCACGCAATGCAGTTTAACTGCACTAAGCTGCATTACATGAGCCTATGTAATCCCATTTCAAATTGCATGATATGGCAGTATAGATGGGGCCTATTAATACATGCTGTCCTAATAATACGGACCTAGAGTTCACAAAGGCCTCATCTACACTGCCATATAATCCAGTTTCTGAATCCAGATCTGCTTTGAATTTGAAATATGACAGTGTAGACTCATATAACACTATGTAACAAAACTTCAATTTTTAGTTTGAAAGTGTTATTTCCTATTTAATTGTGTGGTACTTACTTTGAAAGTAGTTGCTATACTCCAGAAACTTTGTTTTTGTAGCTGCTGCAAAGTAGGTTGAATTGGCTGAGACTCAATGAGATAATCATTGAAAAACTATCGCAAAATGTGCTGCAGCAGGATGTCCCGCAAAAACAAAAAAGTTTTGGCAGTTTGCTAACTTTTTCCCATGCTTTTGATAATAGAACCAATTAGGAAAGGACATTTATAACCTAGGATCAATAATCATGTTACATAGTGTAGCCCAGATAATCTGGATTCTGAATAATCTGGATTATATAGCGGTTTAGATCCAGCCTAAACCAGTGCATCTGCACTGTAGAATGAATGCGGATTGACACCACTTTTAACTTCCTTGGTTCAATGCTGTGGGGTGGTGTGAGTTGTAGTTTATTGAGGCACCAGCATACTTGGGGAGAGTATAGAAGATACAACTTCCAGCATTCTGTGTGTAGCTCTGTGCCTTGGCAGGAAAAACAGTGTCCAATCTGCACCCTGGGGTCGCATCTGACCCTACTGCGCATGTGCCTCACCTCGAAGCCCAGCCAGGAGTAGGGAGACAGCACGTCGTAGAAGAAATCCACCGCTTTCTTGGGGCTGGTCGCCATCGTCCTGCTCGCAGTCGCCCAGCCGAAGAGGAGCGGACGGGGCGCTCGGGGCAGAAAAGCCATGCCAGGAGCGGGTTAAAGTATAACCACAAATGCTTTGCAACCCGGAGCCGATGCGCTTCTCGTTCCGCTCCTGCTCAGTGCTGGCAGCGCTGGAGAGCGAGAGGAAGGCAAGGAAGAAGGCCTCGCGGGCTCGGTGCTGGCCTCTAGTGGCCGCTCGCGTCATTGCATTTAGCCAAACAGGCTGGATCCAAACTGTGCTTCTGAAAGGGGTCTAGGAGCTTTAAGCTTCAGCATGAGTCAACTCCTGGGAAGGAATCCCACTGGAGCATTGCAGCGCACCCAAATACCTGGGAGTCACTCTGGACCGTGCTCTTACCTACAAGAAGCACTGCCTGAGCATCAAGCAAAAAGTGGGTGCTAGAAACAATATCATACGAAAGCTGACTGGCACAACCTGGGGATCACAACCAGATACAGTGAAGACATCTACCCTTGCGCTGTGCTACTCTGCTGCTGAGTATGCATGCCCAGTGTGGAACACATCTCACCACACTAAAACAGTGGATGTGGCTCTTAATGAGACATGGCGCATTATCACGGGGTGTCTGCGCCCTACAACACTGGGGAAATTACACTGTCTAGCCGGCATCGCACCATCTGAAATCCACCGGGAAGTGGCAGCTAATAGTGAAAGGACCAAGGCAGAGACATCTCCAGCTCATCCCCTGTTTGGGTATCAGCCAGCACGTCAACGACTTAAATCAAGAAATAGTTTTCTAAGATCTACAGAGACACTCGCTGGAACACCTCAGCAAGCGAGAGTCCAAAAGTGGCAGGCTCAAACCCAGAACCTCAACCAATGGCTGATACCAAATGAGAGACTCCCCCCTGGGCACACAGAGAACTGGGCGACTTGGAAGGCGCTGAACAGATTGCGCTCTGGCACCACGAGATGCAGAGCCAACCTTCAGAAATGGGGCTACAAAGTGAAATCCTCGACATGCGAGTTCGGAGAGGAGCAAACCACTGACCACCTGCTGCAATGCAACCTGAGCCCAGCCACATGCACAATGGAGGACCTTCTTGCAGCAACACCAGAAGCACTCCAAGTGGCCAGATACTGGTCAAAGGACATTTAATTAACTACCAAGCTTGCAAACTTTGTGTTTTGTCTGTTTGTTTGCTTTGTTCTGTTAGAAATGTAATATAATTGACTGGCTGCTCTGACACGAGAAATAAATAAACATTCAAGATCTGTTCTAAAGTTCTAACTGCTTTCCAGTTCTGCTTCCCTTGAGCAATTTCTCTGTCTGTGGCTCCATATTTTGGCAGCCTGACCAGCTGTTTGTGACCTGTCTCGAATACAGCTTAATGGTGTAACATTAGAAAATGTTGACCATTTCCGCTCGTTTGGCAGCCACCTCTCCACAAGTCAACATTGAAACTGAAATATAACATCGCCTGAGCTCTGTGAGTGCAGCTTTTTTGCGAATGAAGCAGAGAGTGTTTGAGGACCGGGACATCTGTAGGGATACCAAGGTGCTTGTTTATAAAGCTATGGTCCTCCCAACCCTGCTATACGCCTGCGAGATGTGGGCTGTCTATAGACATCACATGCAACTCCTGGAACAATTCCATCAGTGCTGCTTCCGGAAAATCCTACAAATCCCTTGGGAAGACAAGCAGACAAATGTCAGCGTGCTGGAAGAAGGAAAGACCACCAGCATTGAAGCGATGGTCCTCTGCTAACAACTCCACTGGACCGGCCATGTTGTCCGGATGCCCGACCACCGTCTCCCAAAGCAGTTGCTTTGGGAGTTGCTTTGCAGAGGTGGGTAAGAAATAAAATTATTTACTACGCTTCAGCAGAAAGGTAATAAAGACACCCATGCAGCCATGCCAGCAACATGACCAGGAGGTGTCTACGGACAACAGGCTCATCGTCTTGGAAATGAAACAAGAACCTTCCCCAAGCCTAGAGTTGAGCACTGCCTCCAGAAAGCCGGAAATGAAAGGAGAAGCCTTTACCTTTGCTCTGTGTATTTGTATGTCATTGTTATTACACTGTATTAAAGGACCCTTTATTGTAAACACAGGTTATTATTATTAATTTATCATTCTGAGCATTTCATCTTCATCTTTATATTTGCTTCAGGGTTGTCAAGAAGGAAAACTGCAGGTTTATTTACAAATTCAAAATTATTTTACCTAAGATGTAATAGTTTGACATTAATTAATTGGGCTATGATAGATATAGGGAGTCCCCAATGATGCAGTGGGTTAAACTGCCAAGCTGCTGAACTTGCTGACTGAAAGGTCAGCAGTTTGTTTGTGAGCAGAGTGAGCTCCTGCTGTTAGCCCCAGCTTCTACCAACCTTGCAGTTTGAAAACATTCAAATGTGGGTAGATCAATAGGTACTGCTCTGGTGGGAAGGTTACAGTGCTCCATGCAGTCATGCTGGCCACAAAACCTTGGAGGCGTCTACGGACAATGCTGGCTCTTCAACTTAGAGATGGAGATGAGCAGCACCCCCAGAGTTGGACACAGACATAATGTCAAGGGGAAACCTTTACCTTTACTATGTTAGAAATATTGATTTGGTAAATAATAATTAAGAACAAAGTTGGAGAACAATCTTTTATTAGGAACAAACCATCTGATTTGGGTTTCTCAAGCACAGCAGCACAGCTGGCAAGTATAAAAAGTGCTGTATTAATTCCCTATTAGAAGTTTTCTCCTTCACTCCCCTTTGGTGGGATTTATGGTGAAGTCACAATCTATTCTGACCACCTCTTACATGTCCTTTATCCATGTTCTTTCCACCCTGCAACATATGTATCGTACATTACATGTACAAAAAGTGGCAACTAAGCCCCTGCTGGGGTGTGTCATTGACTTCTTAAGCATGCATATAAGCACTAAATGCATCTTCTAATAAAGCACTGGTTACTTTTCTCTAAGTCAGTCTTTCAACGTTACATTCCAAACTGAATTTAGACATCCTTTTTCCTCCTCCAACAAAGATCCCTTTGTAACCCACAGACTATAAACAGTTGTTACTACTCATGGTTTACTATAAGCTTTTTCTGAGTGAAACTAAGAATCGGAGCCAGTTTGTTACAGTAATAGAGCAGCTGATATGTGTTGAAATGGCAGGGAGAAGGTTTGAGGAAAATAGACAAAAGAGAGTTCCTGAGGTCTGTAAAAGCATGGTTTATTCTCAGTTGGCGCCAACCGGATATGGACCCTGCTGGTATTCCAGGAAACAGAGTGATGAACAAAGAAATTGCCTTGGTTTATATACCCTTTATAATAATATGCATACATCATACAAGCATCGCAATGTGTGTCACAAAATTCCACATTTACGTTTTCAATAGCATATTTTTAACTTTAAGACCTTTAATCTTCCATTAAGTACCTTTATCTAAAGAACTGATATTAGTGGACCATCCTGTGCCTCATAGCACCAGAGTGTCTGCACCCAGCTACTGATAGCAAGAACTTCCATCCATCTTAAAATAAGTCCTTTCCTGGCACAAGGGCTTCTTGATAGCAAGGCTACATCATTAATCTTATGATAAGCCCTGTTTGGTATGAGACGGAAGGGTCTCTTGATATCTGCCAGAAGCCTAAGACATTCTTTTCCATAGACCCTGGCCTCTTTCTGGCCTCTTTGTGGCATCTAAGTTGCAGCTTTTAGGAAGAGCATCTCTTCCCAAGTGAATGTTCATGCATACATATCCCTTTGTGATTTCAAATGTATTTTCTAATTCCTATTTCTAATATGGTTACATCCAATATATATTTTCCAATATATGTATTATGTATTTCCATCATGCCTTCATCAGTGTTAGTTGCTAAATGTCCATTGACTAGAAACTGGCCACTTAGAGTACCTCTGATGTCACTGTGAGAAAGTTCTCCATTGTGCATGTGACAGCGTTCAGGTTGCATTGTAGTAGATGGTCTGTGGCTTGCTCTTCTCTGCACTCACATGTCATGGACTCCACTTTGTAGCTCCATTTCTTAAGGTTAGCTCTGCATCCCATTATGCCAGAGCACGGCCTGTTCAGCACCTCCCAAGTTGCCCAATCTTCTGTGTGCCCAGGAGGGAGTCTCTCATCTGGTATCAGGCACTGATTGAGGTTCTGGGTTTTACCTTGCCACTTTTGGACTCTTGCTTGCTGAGGTGTTCCTGCAAGTATCTCTGTAGATCTTAGGAAGCTGTTTCTTAATTTGAGGTGTTGGCTTGCTGGCTGATATCCGTACAGAAGATGGGCTGGAAATGTCAATGCCTTGGTCTTTTTATTACAGGCTGCTACTTCCCAACAGATGTCAAGTGGTGCAATACCTGCTAAACAGTATAATTTCTCCAGCGGTGTAGGGCGTAGACATCCTGTGATAATGCGGCATCTCTCATTAAGAGCCACATCCACTCTTTTAATGTGGTGAGATGTATTCCACACTGGGGATGCATATTCAGCAGCAGAATAGCAAAGCGCAAGCAACTAACAGTATAGTACAGATAATGCTTTGTTACTATATTTGTGTTTTTAAATACATTATGACTGTACCCAATTTCCTTCTGACACGATAAATAAATAAATGTGTTTGTTGGGCGTGTTATCAGGCATACTGTATAAAAACAAAGCTCTGACCTAGCAGACACTGCTGGTAGGTGTCGGCTGGTCGCTGAAAGCTGATACCAATGATGAGAGTGAATGTTTCTCTCACTGCAAGACCAGTCAAGGGCATCCTGATTTCATAAAGAAGAAAGAAATTGAACTGTTTATTGCTTCAGTTTCCTGTTGTCATATCAAGAAGAAATCTACTTACAGAAGTAAGTCTTTGTTTTGTTCTTGTGGTGAGGACAACTACTGTTTTATGACTTTGTTATTCTTAGTGAATGAACTATTTTCATTTCTACTTTAAAAGCGCAATGACTCAAGTGTATTTTTTTGTTCGTCAGGACTTGAGTTCAGGGCCACTCTGAATAAAAAGGGGCTAGTATATCTTCAAAAAGATATTTGCTCATAAGCTTCCATATTCTGCTTCCATATTCTGCTAATTGCTCTGACAACAGTGAGAACTGTTGTTGAAGTAACTTTATCTTTTGTTGAATCTCTTATCAGAATTTTCATTGAGTTTTTGCTCCAGATTTT